TGTTGCTTTGACGAGGTGCTTACACGGGCACCACATATAGAGAATTAATCAGCGCAATCGGAGCGCTTAAGTGTGCGAGACAATTTGTTCCTCCGTCGACCCTCGAAACAAAGTATAACTCTCAAGTTATCCGACCGTACCTTGACTATTACAGCGATGTTTGGGAGGGGCTAGATTCAGAATTTTCTCTGAAGCTTCAAAAACTACAAAACCGCGGAGCTAGGATCATATCCTTTCTCAGTTATGATTCTATCTGCCCCCTGCTCCAAGAGCTTGGATGGGACGAGCTCTCTATACGCAGAATTAAATAGATAGAAATGTTCAAGGTGTACAACAATATGGAACCTGAGCAATTATAACAAAAATTTTTGAAAATGGGGTCCACCTATGATACAAGGGGTTCTTCTTGTAGATTTCAACTGCTTCTTACCAAAACCAAAAAACGTTTTGGCTATATGGGCGAATTTCGTTTGGAAAAAAAATTACTCGTGAATTTGCATGAATGCAAGTCTCAATGAACTTATTTAAATCTGAATTGGAACTGCTTGCTTCCCCAGCTTCTTTGATTCCTTACTATAGTTTTAGACTAGAATATTTTATCAAAGGTTAATACCTAACAAAATATTCTATTCATAAAAGCCGTCGAAAAAAGTATGTATCTATCAGAGTTTTGAGTTAATATTAGTTGTGAAAAAGAAAAAAAATATAGTTTCACATATATTTTTTTCTTTTTGACAACCAATATTAACTCAAAACTCTAATAGATGTATACTTTTTTAGACGGCTTTTAATTTATGTAAAACAGCTTTAACTGACAAAAGTTCCGTGACTCAATATCTATCACTCGGAAATAACATCTTGTGAAGGAATTGGGGGGAAAGGTATTACAAATCCTGCTGGAATATAAAAAGTACGTACGATCCTCGATATACAAGTTAGTTTATCGTAACGCAAACCTAGTAATATGTCCGCCAATGAAGACGTGTTAAACAAAACTACTAGCTACGTGATTTGCTTTCTTGTTGTTTGCAAGGCTTGCCAATTTATAGTCGGCTCTACCTTTATGTAAACGGAATGTAAAAAAAATTAGTTATAAGTTCATGGTGAGTTTCTGAAAAGCAATCACTAAACAGTGTCAACTATCATCGGTTCCTGTCTTAAAACATTCTTATTAAACATTGGCAATTCAGCCACGACTAAGTAAACTTCATAAAGAACCTAAGATTATATCGATCACACAAACGAGGAAAGTCTCTTTCATTGGAAAATCAAAGCAACATACCACAGACAAGCCAGTCCAGCAAATATGAACAGGAACACCACTATACCAGCACCAACCAATGCAAAATTGACAGAAGATCTTGACTGTTTTTCCATCGTCCTCATCAGTAACAGGCTCCTCCCTATCGTCGTCAATTTGCTGAGGTGCGGCTCTTTTCTTTCTTTTCTTGTAACGTTTTTTGTTTTCGTTTTGGTCCCCAGTCCTGAGATGGTACACAGTCCAACGGAGGCCTGAGGATGGCATCTCGTAATGCGCGCTTGCTTTGTGCTGATGCGCCTTTGAGTTGGTGCCACCTTGTTTTGGGCGGTCCTGCTCTGTTATTCGGGGTTTAGGAATATCTTGCGCATGCTCTGAATGATCGTGGTTTGTATCGCTTTTGTCTTTAGCTTGAGTATTGAATTTTGATGAACCATGGCCAGCACCTTCTCCATTGGTCTTCGAAAAGAACCTGTCCTCGTCTGGTGTCGGTAAGGGTGTTAAGATCACCGGTAGTTTAACTTTTCTCTGGATTGGTACTTCTGGAAGGATAAAAAGGCAGATGTCATGTTAACAAGGGAAAAAATAAGCCACCTCTTAGCGTTTTGGTTCTGGATAACACTCATCAAGAGGTGCTTTTGATATCCTGCCCTGATATGAGGTCGCTTTAACAGACAAACCGTTCCCATTCAGTCCGCAGCTACTCAAAAAGTAGATAGCACTATATCTATCGGAAAAATCGTTATCCAGTGAATATAAGTTGTACCAAAACCAGTTGCTTTATCCCTTGATCATAGTTTTATCTAACGGAAAGCGCTATCCATTTTTGAACAACCGGCCGGGGCATTTTTTTGGTCTCGATATTAACGTCTAGCTGATGCATTAAAACCTAAAGAGGTGGTTACAAATTAAAGTAAACTTTCTTTTGTCTTTAAAAGGTCTATTATTCTCCCCTCAAGAGAAAAATTCTCGAAATAACAACTATAAGGATAAAACAATATCCAGTCAACATCAAAACCCAAGCATTTCAGTCTAAAAGTTACTGCTTTGGGAAAGTTGGAAACGAAATATGAAAAATTGTTCTGGGTGGTTACCAGATACATTTAAAAATATTTCTTGCCTGTAGCAAATGGTGGTCGCACTCGCTCGAATGTTGACGAAGCTGTAGGTCTTACTTCAATACGAGTTGAAACACCAGTTTTATGCCTTTTGGCCAATCTTCGCATTGCAAGCTTGCGCACGGTAAAGATGTTATTCTCATTTCCAGGATAGATGTTTCCTCGTTCTTTACCAGTTGTTACTGACTCTTCATTGTCTTTCTCCGCAGAAACGGACTTTGTCCCTGCTGAAAATTTTTGCAAGGGGTAAGATAGTGCGGAATAATTTTTGTGCATATGCTGTGCAATTTTTGCGCTTGAACAAAGAAATATTTTTCAAATTCGCCATCCAATAGACGATGCTGTGCTAGCTTAATTCAAGGAAAAAAGAATGCACAAAATAAACGCATTCAAAATACCAACAAACGACATTTGCACATTCAGGACACAATTAAGTGAAGTCCACAAAGGGAGGGCCACTCTTACCGTTACAAATTTTGATTTTCAACAATACTAGGGCAAGAAGCACCAGTGAAAATAACGTTTACCACTTCATCCTTCATGAATTGTTGCAGAATTAAAAGCTAACGTCATAGACGCATGTTTTTGATGGCGCACGCAACTCACCTCGCGCATATATCTGGACACCAGAACCTTTTTGCACGTGTCCGGAGGGTTGTCCAATACGCACACTCAAACTGAGTCCAACATTTCACTTAAATACTATTCCACTGATCCAATGTTTTAATCTTACTTATACCCCCAGATTATTGCAGCATTTCTTTTTTCCCTTGCCGCTCTCCTGCCTGTAAAAGCATGAATCCCTTTTTTCATGATATAACGAACTGAAATTGTGTTATGCATCATGTTTCACTTAGTGCCATTGCGTTGAACCATAGTTATTAAAGTGGAATGGTTATAAAACCCGTTAGACTCTCTTGTTATATTTTTTTGTTAGCTTTTTGGGCCTGATTGTGCACAACGTTCAATAGTAATCTTATCATTTTGAATTTACAGACCAATAAAATCATCTCATTAATTTATTCAGCCACCATTTGTGAACAAAGAACATTGGCTTGTTCACGGTCAGAGAGCTTCCAACATAAACCAGTCTACACTACTAACTATGATTGAACTCATGTCAAAGAGAACTTTAAAGTGTATTTTCAGATCATTTACCTTTTGTTTTTCTACCTAGAGCATTTTTCAACTTGCAACATGATTTGAAAGATATCTTCTTACTGTACTTTGACTTTTAAGTCTTCCACTGATTTGGATAACATTCAGTTATTCTCCAAACAAACCTTATTTTAACGAAGTAAAATGAATAAAACGAAATGAGACGATATTAAAAGTATGAAGTCATTGATTTGCTTTATAAGGAATGTTTCAGCCGGCCAGATAAAATATGATGTAATAGTTACCCTTCTTGTCCATTACGGGGAAGTGGGTCCATATTGTGGTATGGCTACACACTCATTTCCTGCCACTTAACTCGTAGAAAAAGGCCACCATATCATTACCAAATCCCCTATCCTAGAATAGCTTTTGGGCTGAATTGGGTAAATTTAAACTTGCCGACTTGTTTTTTTTACATGTTTTGAGTAGCAATTCCTGGTTTCTCTTCTCTAGACTAAAATCTTCAAGCAATGGATCAGTTTTGGAAAATGACACCCTATTCTTAGCCTGGTCCCGCAGGCGTTCAGATAGTGGGGAGCGGTGTGAAGTAAAAACGAGCGCTAGTTCCCCCTCTACTTTTCATCTCTTTTTTTACTTCCCACCGCTCCCCACTGTCTGGACGCCTAAATTTTCTTTGGGTCGACCCAAAAAAAATTTACAAGGATTTGTATGGAGTATTCTAAGGATAACTGGGCTACGATCTCAGAGACAATTTGCCCCGAAATGCTCATTGTTGACAAGTAGGCCTCTTGGACATCGTTCTTTCAGAATATCCTGACAAATCCCATAATTTCAGAAATTTCATTTGTATGACGTCACACTTTTAATAGTACTCTATTCAGGACTACACTTGCCCAGACAATCATGCTCAACGTATTGCTCAACCTACGCTGTGTTCAAACCTTTCACTGTTTTGCATATTATGTTAGTCACTTTTTTGCTAATTAAAAAATAAAGCAAGAGATCAAAGGATTACAATACTAAACTAAACATTCTCATCATTTTGGGTTAAGGTAATAAATAATAAAAACATTAATTTTATGATTTAAAGTTATTTTCACCATCAACAAATGGATAAAAAAATTCGTTAAAACTGAGCCACTAAACTAATCGTGGTTAAAAACAAGCAGAAATAGAATTTTACAAAAGTTTATTCGACACAACTTGAATGGCTTTATTTACACATGAGGCTTTCAATAAAACTTCTGGCTGCCTGGAAAAAACACAGTATTTTTTTTTTAACTTTTCATTATGCACCTCAGAACTGTGCATATAAATTACAAGGAAGGAAAATTATTTTGTTCTGCAGAATTGCTGCTAAAACGTCTGAATCTGGGTTCGATTGCATTTTTTGTCTCATTGTCATGGCCTCTTTTGTCTTTACTCTTATCTTCTTCTTTTGATGCTTCAGTGTCACGCGATCTGTCACTGCCTTGGTCACAGTCGCGTGCCTTATCTTGCGTACGGCCACGATCATCTCTGTCACGCTCACTGTAGTCGTCACGGTATCTGTAACGATCCTTATCACGTGGTTTATCATCGCGAGTCTTCCTTGTCTGATTGCATTCCCGATTCTTTTCCTTCCTCTTGACGTCTTTGCTTTTATCTTTTTCTAAGAATAATAATTAACGAAAAAGCAAAAATTGAAACGACAGCATATTAAAGTTGTAAAACAGTCTTGTGTGGTCTTGGTTTTTGGGGTAGTAAATTATCTTTTGTTCAGTGGCAGTCAGATGAGGAAGGGTGATGTATTTTCATAGCAAAACAAAATTAAAAACGAAGAGTAATCGTAGTCCCAAACTATCGTTTTAACACGCTTTCCGTGCATCACGTACCAGGGGATTTCCAAACGTAAAGTCGCAGGGCCTTTAATTTTCCCCCACGTGAAAGTACGGCTTAAGAGGTTTCATTTGGTTAGTAATATCATAGAAGTGTATCCACAAACACAAAAGTTAGAACTACGTACAAAATAAATAGTAACATGCGAAACTACTGCTGAAGAAGTTTCACTTGAATGGTAACATCATAGGCGTTTAACCACAGACTCAGAATTAAAGTTAAACACACCATCCCAGACCTTATCACTCAATCTGAGACTGAACGGCTAAAGAACGTACCCGATGCAATAGTGTCCCTTTTTGATCGTGGGTCAGTTCCCAAATGACCTTTTCTTGGCGGCTGGTACAGTGCACGATCGGGACGATCCTAAAACCCACCAAAGACAGAAACAGTATATGTAATCAATTGGTGACGAGTGCAATTTTGGAAATAATAGAGAGGTTTAAAATCACGTTTACGGCAAACGTAAAATTGTACCACGTGACCAACTTTTTCCCTTGATTTATACTTGGTGTTTGGTATTTATTATTTCTACATGGGAATTACTTGTTTCTGGTCATGTTGATCGATCAGATGTATTTTGAACAGTTTTTAGCGGTTTATTTCCTAAATTTGGAAAGTTCTCAACCAGCATCTCACCTTTTCCCCTAGCCTTTTTCCGTGAACGTGACCCTAAATCTCTACAATTCACGCGCGTTTTTGCCAAATTGTAATAATTATATATAGCCGATATTACATGCCCGCACGTGGTACGAATTTTATCTTCTCGTGTTCGACTTGATATCTCACGAGTGCTAGATAAAATACATATCCACAAGCGGGCATGTAATATTCTGTTTATTATATAGACAACGATGGCGAGATGCTGTGATGCTCTTTTCCTATGGGCTGAGACTGACGTAACCATGACAACCGTAATATCTTCACATGTGAAGGATAAAAATTGGGTCTTCACCGGATACCAAATTTTCGTGACTGGAAAAAATCCTGGTATTTCATCGGTGTCTATATAACAAAAAGTTTTAGATTCTGCTTTCAGATTAACTGTCTGGATACATGAAAGGACCAAGCAATTTGAAATTTGGACTTGTTGTTTTTTAAAATGGGACTCATTGGTTCTGGACAGGGACTCATGCTTCCCAGGAATCACCATAACTATTTCTAACAAAATCACTAACCTTGTTACGCACTCGTTGTACCCGTTGATAGTGACTATTTTCCATTTCATCCTTTCCACTTTCCTTAGAAGATTCTCCTATTTGTGGTTTCTTTTCGCCAGTACCAGTAACTGAGGACGTGATCTCCTTTTCCTTCTTTTCTTTCTCCTTTCCGGCAAAATTTGCTGTTGATCGTGGGTCAGCTCCCAAGTGACCTTTTCTCGGCGGCTGGTACAGTGCTCGATCAGGACGATCCTAAAACCCACCAAAGACAGATATAGCATATGTAATCAGTTGGTGACGAGTGCAATTTTGGAAATAATAGAGAGGTTTAAAATCACGTTTACGGCAAACGTAAAATTGTACCACGTGACCAACTTTTCCCTTTGATTTATACTTGTTGTTTGCAATTTATTATTTCTACATGGGAATTAGTTGTTTCTGATTACGTTGATCGATCAGATGTATTCTGTACAGTTTTTAATTGTTTATTTCCTTAATTTGGAAAATTCGCAACCTGCATCTCACCTTTTCCCCTGGCCTTTTGCCGTGAACGTGACCCTAAATCTCTCCAATTCACGCGCGTTTTGTCCAAATTGTAATAATTTTGACAATTTGTAGCCTGAGAAAAAAGCCGAAATTTCGCGACACCACTGCTGGCTTCACCAAGAAGTGACGTCTGAGGAAGGAGCGCAGAAATTCCAAACTGGTGACGTGTCACTGCCCTGGTTTAGGTAGTGCTTCTCCACGATTGGCTGAACTAAATTTCCCACGTGGCAAGACCAGTCAGCAGCGCGCACTACCCAATTCTAAGTAGTGACACGTCATAGGTAAGGACTTTCTGTTTTCGTACCCAGACGTCAGTTCTTGGGGAAACAAAGGGTCCAGAAAAATTGCAAGTGCGACTAGTGATCTTCATTCGAGTGTTGAACATTTAACTTGTGACTCCGTATTAGCACTACTTAAGCCCTACAATTAAGTTTTGCAGCCTTGTGGAAAGATGTTATTTAGAAAAGTGGGCACCCTGTGAGCAGAGTCTCCTTCCGTTAGTGCTCCATTGATAGAGGAGGAGAAATGGAGTACGCAAAAACCTAGAGCGCGAAGGTAGGGCTGTTCTGGCAGAGTTGAGGGTCGGGCAAAGAAAAAGAAAAAAAGAAACAAAAAACACAGCAGCCAACGCTTATCCACCTTCAGTGATTGTTACCCGTGGTATGCGACCCACAAAAATCGATCGATCGATCTAAATATGTGTTTTGGCAGATTACCCTGTTCCTGTGATTGCTCTACCGGTTTTTATTGCGGTTGTTTAACGATGCATATTTTATTTAGCTTCTCTTGTGATTTAAAAAAGGAAGAGCTATATGTTAATTTAAGTATACTGTAATGTATGGAGGATATTACATGCCCGCACGTGGATACGAATTTTATTTCGTGGTCAATCTCGTGTTCAACTCGATATCTCACGAGTGCTAAATAAAATTCATACCCACAAGCGGGCATAACATACATGTTTATTCAAACTCATAATAACTGCATGAATTTGAAAGGGAGAGTCTAGAGGTTAACCCTATGAATAAAACTCTCCTAAAAACAACAAACAAACAATAAAAATTACAACTTTAAAAAGGATTTGAGTTTACATTTAAAAAGTTTAAGGGAACCGGCTTCAACAACATTGCTAGGTAAATTGTTCCAATAACTAATTACATTGTTAAAAAAAGAATATTTAAAACAGTTGATTCTAGATAATTTACTATAAAGCTTATACGAGTGATTTGCCCTAGTGGATTTGACTTTTGCGAATTGAAAGAATTCCTCAAAATCCAAGTGTGATAAGCCAAACACGATCTTAGAACATTCAACAAGAGAGGAATATGTCCTACGACTGGACAAAGATGGCCAATGTAACGAGTCACAACGCTCTTCATAAGACATATCACCTCTTTTTTGCCTAAGAGCTAATCTTGACGCACGTCTTTGCACGCTCTCTATTGCATGAACATCTTTGACAAGATATGGGTTCCAGACTGGAGCAGCATACTCTAAAAGTGGTCTGACCAATGTTTTGTAAAGCAATGACAAAGTTGTTGTATCAGCTGTTCCAACCGACCGTCTTATTAGCCCTAGGACTTGGTTCGCCTTATTCACCATAGTACTAATATGTTCACTCCAAGTAAGATCTTTTGATATAATAATTCCAAGATCTTTAAAGCTCTTGACATCTTTTAAGGCCGTACCTAGTTTATAATTCGTAGTCGATTTGTCACGTAATATTCTGTTTATTATATTTACACCGATGGCGAGATGCTGTGATGCTCTTTTCCTATGGGCTGAGATTGACGTAACCATGACAATCGTGATATTTTCACGTGTGAAGGATAAAAATTGTATCTTCACCGGATATCAAATTTTCGTGACTGGAAAAATCCTGGTATTTTATCGGTGTCTATCTAATAAAACGTTTTAGATTCTACTTTCAGATTAACTGTCTGGATACATGAAAGGACCAAGCAATTTGAACTTTGGACTTGTTGTTTTTTAAAATGGGACTCATTGGTTCTGGACAGGGACTCATGCTTCCCAGGAATCACCATAACTATTTCTAACAAAATCACTAACCTTGTTCCGCACTCGTTGTACTCGTTGATAGTGACTATTTTCCATTTCATCCTTTCCACTTTCCTTAGAAGATTCTCCTACTTGTGGTTTCTTTTCGCCAATACCAGTAACCGAGGACGTGATCTCCTTTTCCTTCTTTTCTTTCTCCTTTCCGGCAAAATTTGCTGTTAATCGTGGTTCAGCTCCCAAATGACCTTTTCTTGGCGGCTGGTACAGTGCTCGATCAGGACGATCCTAAAACCCACCAAAGACAGAAATAGTATATGTAATCAACTGGTGACGAGTGAAATCTTAGAAATAATAGAGAGGTTTACAATCACGTTTACAGCAAACGTAAAATTGTACCAGGTGACCAACTTTTCCCTTTGATTCTACATGGGAATTAGTTGCTTCTGGTCATGTTGATCGATCAGATGTATTTTGTTCCAAATATTCGTGACTGGAAAAATCCTGGTATTTCATCGGTGTCTATACAATAAAAAGTTTTGGATTCTGCTTTCAGATTAACTGTCTGGATACAGGAAAGGACCAAGCAATTTGAACTTTGGACTCGTTGTTTTTTAAACTGGGACTCATTGGTTCTGGACAGGGACTCATGCTTCACAGGAATCTCCATAACTATTTCTAACAAAATCACTAACCTTGTTACGCACTCGTTGTACTCGTTGATAGTGACCATTTTCCTTCTCATCTTTTCCACTTTCCTTAGAAGATTCTCCTACTTGTGGTTTCTTTTCGCCAGTACCAGTAACCGAGGACGTGATCTCCTTTTCCTTCTTTTCTTTCTCCTTTCCGGCAAAATTTGCTGTTGATCGTGGTTCAGCTCCCAAATGACCTTTTCTTGGTGGCTGGTACAGTGCTCGATCCGGACGATCCTAAAACCCACCAAATACAGAAATAGTATATCTAATCAACTGGTGGCGAGTGAAGTTTTAAAAATAATAGAGAGGTTTAAAATCGCGTTTACGGCAAACGTGAAATTGTACCACGTCACCAACTTTGCCATTGGATTTATACTTGGTGTTTGCTATTTATTATTTCTACATGGGAATTAGTTGTTTCTGGTTAACAAAATCACTAACCTTGTTACGCAGTTTTTGTTGATCACTACTTCTCTTCTCATCCTTTCCACTTTCCTTAGAAGATTCTCCTACTTGTGGTTTCTTTTCGCCAGTACCAGTAGCCGAGGACGTGATCTCCTTTTCTCTCCTTTCATTCTCCTTTCCGGCAATATTTGTTGGTGACCGTAAGTCAGCTTCCCAAGGACCTTGTTTTACTTCATAAACTTCTGCATCGAGACGATACTAAAACCCATTAAAGATAGAAATATTATAGCTAATCAATTGGTGATGAGTGAAATTAGGAAATAATAGAGTGGTTTAAAATCGCGTTCAAGGCAAACGACAAACGTGAAATTGTGCCACGTGGCCAACTTTTCCCTTTGATTTATACTTGCCGTTTGCTATTTATTATTTCTACATGGCAATTAGTTTCTGGCTTTATGTTCATCGATCAGATTTACTTTTCAACGGTTTTTATCCGCCGAGCCGAAGGCCGATTCTTATAACACTTGATTATTCCGGATATCAAAAAAACTGAATCTTATAATTGTTTTGTTATAAATTGTTTTGAAAAAAATAACGATAAACATACCGTCGCATTAGGAACCTGAATGGCATGATACTGTTATTGGAAATCATACACTGTACGCCAAACTTACAGATTAGTCAGTTATCTAGCAGATAACTAAGTAATCTATAAGTTGCGCTGATTACCAAAATAGCTGTAGGCTCTTAGCCAATTAGACTTGCTACAAGTCGACCTCTTGACGAACGGAGCTAGCCGTTTTTGGGTCGGTAAAATTGGCGCCAATCAAGTATGAAAAGTGCTTCGTCCCGCGCCATTTGAAATCCGACGAAGGACTTTTTTGAAAGTCTATTAGCCAATGAGACTGATAGATAGATAGTACAACGTATAATAATAATATTTATATTCTATTTCATTACTGGTTAATGTTTTTGAGAAAATAAAGCTTAAAACTGAAGGACCCTACTTTTTAAAGAAGTTCGCGTCGATTAAAAAAAATTTCGGTTATTTTTTTACTGAAATTTATGTTATCGGCATCAAAGAAAGAATAAATGATTTCTTGAATAAATACCCACCATCAATTTCGCTGTACTTTCGCTATCTGAAACAGATAAAGAACTATTCGCTTCCGCAGTGCTGTTTTCTTCCAAGGACCGAGTAACTGTTGAAGGAGTTCCTAAAAGATTGAAGAGGATAAAAATTTTAGTGGAACAACAAAATGAGCGAATCTGAATTTTTGGTAACAGTAAGTAAAACAATGAATCAATAATAAGAAACGGACGAGGCTTCTCTTTTCAGTCTTCACGCGGTTCATTTTCTCGCTCGCCCCAAGTTCAGAATACCTAGACTTCGTCCCTAGAACGATGTTGAAATAGCTGAAAGCTTGTATCAGGTAAAACTGCGAATATTATTGTTGCCTTCATTCCGCACGCCGTTAAACACACTAATATTGGTTAAGTTCCTTTCTGACAAGGAAAGTGATTACAGCGTGAGACAACCTCGTTTCCATTTCAAGAGACGCAAAAGAAAGAACAAAGGTCGCGCTCGCTACCGATTTAAGTGCAGATTTTATTGTGTGTAAATGTCATGTATTTTTACTAGAAAAAGAAATTTGACCATTAATACTTTAAACCCTAAGAGTGATCAGCTTGAAATTTCTCCTTACAATATCAATGATCATGAGATTTGACAACATGATCAGAGAAAGTGAATCGACTTGATATTTCTGAATCAACAAATTGTCTCCACTTCTTCTATTGAAAATGTGATAAAGACAACAAATGAGAGTATGAAGTTAGACATTAGGGTTAAAAGACTCACCACCGGTCATCGTTAGAAATTCTTTATTGCCGCACGTCAGGCCAGAAAACTCGATTGTGCCGTTTCCAATTACCATGACGTCATCCTTTTCCTGGATGGTGACGTCATAGATTTCACTCTCCTTTTCAATCTCAGGATTTTCAGCCAAACCTGTCGCTCCTGAAGTGTCAATAACAACAACATTTTTAATCAATGTCAAGACATCATTGCCGTTTTCAGCCTTTGCTGCACAACTATCCTTAACATTACCTTTCACATCGGAATCTTCCACAAAGGTTTTTGTAGACACGCCAGATATGTCACTTGCAGGACTTCGACTTTCCACGTTCCGTATAACGTGTTTTTCATTCTCACTATTCAGGGTCATCATTGTAGTTTCAGCTCCTGATGTCTTGCATGCGCGAAGAAAAACTTCACCTTCGTCTTGAATAGTCAACATTACATCACCTGTCACTGCCAGAGGAGTTTTGCAAGAGAGTTGGGATGAGTCAACATTTTCTGTTTCCAAGGCAAGTATTCGTGTTGCTTCGTCAGAGGTGGAAGCAGATAAACTGAAGAGGGATGATTGCTTGGGCGAGGCCGGATGAATCAAGACACATGATTCCAGGAGTGCCTGTTTTTCCACCGAGGGTAAAGACGACTCTGGTTCGATGGTCAGTGGAATCGGAGGCTCAGATGGTAGCACATCGATAACTATTTCCGGTTCAACGGTTGACGAGATTATTTGGTCGTCGTTGAGTTCAGTTTCTGCCTTTAGGGTTTTTCTAGAAATAGGTGTTAGTGAGGAGCACTGGACTACAGGTTCTGGAAACAGAGATGAGGCTTCCGGTTCTGCTGAAGTTATATCAAGTGAGGAAACGGACGTCAAAGATGATGAAGGAAACCACGAAAACACATTAGATAAGGAAGAACAGGTAAAAGAGGTGTCCGGAGAGCTCATGTCAGGTACATCAACAACCTCGTGGGAGTCGGCTTGAGGAGCATCAACAACCACACAAACTGGACTGGATTCAGAGAGATCAACAATGGAGCAAGCAGTATGTCTTTCAGAAGCTAGATTTGAGTCAGGAATATCGACCACCACGTAAGTGTTTTCTATAGGAGAAACTGCCATCAAAGAGGGAGTGTCTGTTACGGTCCACGGTGATTGGGCATCAAAGTGTGTGGCTGCAAGTTGGTAAGATGACGGATTTGGTTTGGGTTGATGACTATCAGAGTCCCTTGAAGTCCGCGTCCCGCAGTTTATTTTCTCTTCCTGGCTAAGCCGCTCGCTGGAGCTAGTCGGGTCAGGGTGTTTTCTCCGTAAGCATCTTTTCTTACACGTTCTCCTGCAAGTGAAATTAAAGAGCAAAAGTGCTATAATTGTGAACGGTGGTGAGGGGCAGGAGAGCAGCCGAAAGACTTCTAACAAACTGATTGAGTGGACAGTGAGACTAGAAAGAATCAAACATCCACCGATTTCTGTAAAGCAACATCTACCAAATCCGTTAGTCTACATGTTGCTTTGACGAGGTGCTTACACGGGCACCACATATAGAGAATTAATCAGCGCAATCGGAGCGCTTAAGTGTGCGAGACAATTTGTTCCTCCGTCGACCCTCGAAACAAAGTATAACTCTCAAGTTATCCGACCGTACCTTGACTATTACAGCGTTGTTTGGGGGGGGCTAGATTCAGAATTTTCTCTGAAGCTTCAAAAACTACAAAACCGCGTAGCTAGGATCATAACCTTTCTCAGTTATGATTCTATCTGCCCCCTGCTCCAAGAGCTTGGATGGGACGAGCTCACTATACGCAGAATTAAATAGATAGAAATGTTCAAGGTGTACAACAATATGGAACCTGAGCAATTATAACGAAAATTTTTGAAAATGGGGTCCACCTATGATACAAGGGGCTCTTCTTGTAGATTTCAACTGCTTCTTACCAAAACCAAAAAACGTTTTGGCTATATGGGCGAATTTCGTTTGGAAAAAAATTACTCGTGAATTTGCGTGAATGCAAGTCTCAAAGAACTTATTTAAATCTGAATTGGAACTGCTTGCTTCCCCAGCTTCTTTGATTCCTTACTATAGTTTTAGACTAGAATATTTTATCAAAGGTTAATTCCTAATAAAATATTCTATTCATAAAAGCCGTCTAAAAAAGTATGTATCTATCAGAGTTTTGAGTTAATATTAGTTGTGACAACCAATATTAACTCAAAACTCTGATAGATGTATAATTTTTTAGACGGCTTTTAATTTATGTAAAACAGCTTTAACTGACAAAAGTTCCGTGACTCAATATCTATCACTCGGAAATAACATCTTGTGAAGGAATTGGGGGGGAAAGGTATTACAAATCCTGCTGGAACATAAAAAGTACGTACGATCCTCGATATACAAGTTAGTTTATCGTAACGCAAACCTAGTAATATGTCCGCCAATGAAGACGTGTTAAACAAAACTACTAGCTACATGATTTGCTTTCTTGTTGTTTGCAAGGCTTGCCAATTTATAGTGGGCTCTACCTTTATGTAAACGGAATGTAAAAAAAATTAGTTATAAGTTCATGGTGAGTTTCTGAAAAACAATCACTAAACAGTGTCAACTATCATCGGTTCCTGTCTTAAAACATTCTTATTAAACATTGGCAATTCAGCCACGACTAAGTAAACTTCATAAAGAACCTAAGATTATATCGATCACACAAACGAGGAAAGTCTCTTTCATTGGAAAATCAAAGCAACATACCACAGACAAGCCAGTCCAGCAAATATGATCAGGAACACCACTATACCAGCACCAACCAATGCAAAATTGACAGAAGATCTTGACTGTTTTTCTCCATCGTCTTCATCAGTAACAGGCTCCTCCCTATCGTCGTCAATTTGCTGAGGTGCGGCTCTTTTCTTTCTTTTCTTGTAACGTTTTTTGTTTTCGTTTTGGTCCCCAGTCCTGAGATGGTACACAGTCCAACGGAGGCCTGAGGATGGCATCTCGTAATGCGCGCTTGCTTTGTGCTGATGCGCCTTTGAGTTGGTGCCACCTTGTTTTGGGCGGTCGTGCTCTGTTATTCGGGGTTTAGGAATATCTTGCGCATGCTCTGAATGATCGTGGTTTGTATCGCTTTTCTCTTTAGCTTGAGTATTGAATTTTGATGAACCATGGCCAGCACCTTCTCCATTGGTCTTCGAAAAGAACCTGTCCTCGTCTGGTGTCGGTAAGGGTGTTAAGATCACCGGTAGTTTAACTTTTCTCTGGATTGGTACTTCTGGAAGGATAAAAAGGCAGATGTCATGTTAACAAGGGAAAAAATAAGCCACCTCTTAGCGTTTTGGTTCTGGATAACACTCATCAAGAGGTGCTTTTGATATCCTGCCCTGATATGAGGTCGCTTTAACAGACAAACCGGTATGATAAACGTTCCCATTCAGTCCGCAGCTACTCAAAAAGTAGATAGCGCTATATCTACCGGAAAAATCGTTATCCAGTGAATATAAGTTGTACGAAAACCAGTTGCGTTATCCCTTTGTTATAGTTTTATCTAACGGAAAGCGCTATCCATCTTTTGAAGAACCGGCCGGGGCATTTTTTTTGTTCTCGATATTAACGTCTAGCCGGTGCATTAAAACCTAAAATGGTGGTTACAAATTAAAGTAAACTTTCTTTTGTCTTTTAAAGGTCTATTATTCTCCCCTCAAGAGAAAAATTCTCGAAATAACAACTATAAGGATAAAACAATAGCCAGTCAACATCAAAACCCAAGCATTTCAGTCTAAAAGTTACTGCTTTGGGAAAGTTGGAAACGAAATATGAAAAACTGTTCTAGGTAGTTACCAGATACATTTAAAAATATTTCTTGCCTGTAGCAAATGGTGGTCGCACTCGCTCGAATGTTGACGAAGCTGAAGGTCTTATTCCAGTACGAGTTAAAACACCAGTTTTATGCCTTTTGGCCAATCTTCGCATAGCAAGCTTGCGTATGGTAAAGATGTTATTCTCATTTCCAGGATAGACGTTCCCTCGTTCTTTGCCGGTTGTTACTGACTCTTCATTGTCTTTCTCCGCAGAAACGGACTTTGTTCCTGCTGAAAATTTTTGCAAGGGGTAAGATAGTGCGGAATAATTTTTGTGCATATGCTGTGCAATTTTTGCGCTTGAACAAAGAAATATTTTTCAAATTCGCCATCCAATAGACGATGCTGTGCTAGCTTAATTCAAGGAAAAAAGAATGCACAAAATAAACGCATTCAAAATACCAACAAACGACATTTGCACATTCAGAACACAATTAAGTGAAGTCCACAAAGGGGGGGGCCACTCTTACCGTTACAAATTTTGATTTTCAACAATACTAGGGCAAGAAGCACCAGTGAAAATAACGTTTTCCACTTCATCCTTCATGAATTGTTGCAGAATTAAAAGCTAACGTCATAGACGCATGTTTTTGATGGCGCGCGCACCTCACCTCGCGCTCATATCTGGACCCCAGAACCTTTTTGCACGTGTCCGGAGGGTTGTCCAATACGCACACTCAAACTGAGTCCAACATTTCACTTAAATACTATTCCACTGTTCCAATGTTTTAATCTTACTTATACCCCCAGATTATTGCAGCATTTCTTTTTTCCCTTGCAGCTCTCCTGCCTTTAAAAGCATGAATCCCTTTTTTCATGATATAACGAACTGAAATTGTGTTACGCATCATGTTTCACTTAGTGCTATTGCGTTGAACCATAGTTATTAAAGTGGAATGGTTATAAAACCCGTTAGACTCTTTTGTTATATTTTTTTGTTAGCTTTTTGGGCCTGACTGTGCACAACGTTCAATAGTAATCTTATCATTTTGAATTTACAGACCAATAAAATCATGTCATTAATTTATTCAGCCACCATTTGTAAACAAAGAACATTGGCTTGTCAGAGAGCTTCCAACATAAACCAGTCTCCACTACTAACTATGATTGAACTCATGTCAAAGAGAACTTTAAAGTGTATTTTCAGATCATTTACCTTTTGTTTTTCTACCTAGAGCATTTTTCAACTTGCAACATGATTTGAAAGATATCTTCTTACTGTACTTTGACTTTTAAGTCTTCCACTGATTTGGATAACATTCAGTTATTCTCCAAACAAACCTTATTTTAACGAAGCAAAATGAATAAAACGAAATGAGACGATATCAAAAGTACGAAGTTATTGATTTGCTTTATAAGAAATGTTTCAGCCGGCCAGATAAAATATGATGTAATAGTTATCCTTCTTGTCCATTACGGGGAAGTGGGTCCATATTGTGGTATGGCTACACACTCATTTCCTGCCACTTAACTCGTAGAGGAAGGGCCACCATATCATTACCAAATCTAACCAGCGGTCCATTTCAAATCGCTTCCTTCGCGTCATGCCTGAAAAAGAGAGGTACATGCCTGCGTGGTCTGTTGGGTTCTACCGACTGCTTCATGAACAACTTCCATTGTAAGTGTAGCGCTCTTATTTAGCCTCCGCGTATCTTAAAGAACGAGTTATATTGCTCATATAGCGTATTTGTTTGGCCTCTGCCTTTTAGAACGCAGCATTACATGCGTAACGCACTTGTTTCGCGTCACTGGCACATTGCATGTGTAGCGTGCTTCATCTCTTGGTTAAAAAAGAAAAAGACCTACACTCTTTTTTTTATAAGAATATATTTTATAAGAATATCGAGGCTGAAATTTGCGAATTTTAAGAATATTTTAAGAATAAAGCCGAGGCTGAGATTTTGAAGAGGATAGATATAATGTTGTGTGTTGAAACATCTGTAAATAGAATACAATTTTATGTTTTTAACTTAACCGTATAAAATTATTCGCCAACAAAATGAAAAAACCTGCGGTAGCTATAGCAAAATGTTCAACGCTAATGACAGTTCGATGAACGGTACATGTAATACATATGTACAGTATTCAGCACAAAAGACATAACAAGAATAATACAAGAATATTTTCAGCCTAAAATCGGCAGAAAAACAAGAATATTCAGCCCGGGCCGGAAAAACAACATTCTTATATAAAAAAAAGAGTGTATATTACATGTGCGGCGCGCTTGTTTCGCGTCATGGCTTTAATTAAGACATGTGGAGCACCCTTTTTTCGCGTCATGGCTTTAAAAACGACGTATATTACTAAACAGTGTAGCGCGCTTCAGTTTCGTCTTATGCGTAACATGGTTGTTTCGCCTTATGGCTTAAAGAACGACGTATACTACATGTGTAGCGCGCTTTTTTCACCTCATGGCTTTAAAAACTACGTATATTACATGTGTAGCCCACTTGTTTCGCCTTATGGTTTAAAGATATTTATAAGTCCGTCGCGAGCTGACTGCCGGTGATTCTGATCGACTCTTGCCAGGACGAACTGACTCCATCGGATCCGATCGAGTCTGTTTGCCAATATCAGGGCGTAAGGTGCTACCCTAGCTCTTTACGCCCTGGCCAATATCTTCAACCCTCGCTCGCTCCTGTTAACTTCTTACTTCCGGTACCACTGATAAAGCGCCTTGCGCCCATTTCCGGTTGCGGTCGCGATCTGACTTAATCCGCTTGAAGGCAGCCCGACTCACTCCGAATGTATTGGACACATGTGCACGAAGAAACTGGAAACCAAATTGGAAACTGAAACTGTCAACCACATGGGACACCAAATCCGAAAAACCGCTTTCTTGTTTTGTTCAAAAACCGTAAACCAGATGCTAAAAAAAAAACCGCAAACCGCAACGGACATCAGACCTAAAACTGTTCATTATTCGCACTTCATCGAGCGGAAGGCTAGGATATTAATTATTTCTATTTTCATTTTTCAAAGGTAATACTGACATCTTACATTGCTATATTACGTCATGTAGGCGTGTTCCTAGCTTTCAATTTTACTCTCATAATATCAATATTATCTAATTTCAAGTCAACTATACGTTCTTTTAATTATAAGTGTCTCAGAAATGCTGGTGACATTGTCAATCCCGAGACGCTGTACTAAGAGCACGAACCTTTTTCAGGATCTTGGGTGACCAATTCATCACTTTTTGACGATTTAAAAAATGAAATCCCCAGAAGCCCAACTTCAACAAATGATGGAACAGCTCAAGGCAAGAAGTAAAACAGAAGTGATCCTTGAATCAGGATTTTTTGCCCTCATTCTCTCCATTTTATTTGTTGGAAATTTCACAACACTCCTGATCATGGTTCTGAACCGTCGCATGCGAACAATTCCAAATATGCTTGTTGTGTCGCTCGCTGTTTCAGACTTTGGCTTGGGAGCTCTCTGTTCTGGTCCTTTGGGTCTTTTAGCGATAGCAACATCCGACTGGCCTTTTAACGATGCAACTTGTCAATACCAAGGGTACATAGCCATAACCATGGCCGTTGCCTCCACACAAACGCTGACCATCATGGCAGTGAACAGGTACTTCCGAATTGTGAATCAACGTAAGTACCGTCGCTTTTTCACTAAGAAAAAAACCACGATCATAATCATAGTATCTTGGCTCTATTCCCTGTTCACTCCTTTGCCTTACGTACTCAGCGGGCATAAAATGATCTTTCATCCATCCAAGTTTTTCTGCTACCTTCAAGTCAATAGTGGGCCATTCACGGCGTTCTTGGTGACTGTCAACGTGGGTATTCCATCCAACGTCATCTTTTATTGCTACCTAAAAATCTTTAAATCTGTTGGCAACCACAGCAATAATTTTCAGTCAAGTAGAGATGGAACCAGCAGGGCTGTAAAAGTGAAAGATATCAAGATTGCTCGCACGCTATTTGCGATAGTAATATTCTTTACTCTGTGTTGGACCCCTGTTTTGTTGATAGACGTCGTGGACACAATTCGAGGACGTTGGAGCTTTCCTCGCGAGGCCTACTTAGCGTACAGCTTTTTGATCACAATAAGCAGTGCTCTGAATCCGGTCATATACGGTGTAATGAATAAGAACTTTCAGAAGGAATATCTCAAGATTTTACGCTGCAGCCACTGCCGTACACAAGTGGCCGTAGAACCTTTCTCAGTGGAAGGAAGATCTAGAACAACATCATTCAGTGAAAATTCCCTAAGAGTTCGCAAAAAGGAAAATTTGAACGAAGAAAGAATTTAAAATTACTTTAAATTGTAATGTCATACCATCATGGAAATGCTGGTTAGATATGAAGCAATTAAGATATTGTATTTTGCGCACTTTTAACATAATTAGTGGGCTCATAAACGACATTAGAATTTCAACCGCTACAGAACACAATTTCTTCTGACCAAAGTGAACACTTTTCCCCTCGGCTTGAGGTTATCAACATTTTGTATTTAGATACTTCTAAGGTTAATAGAAAGAGCCGAAAAATGGGTAACATAAAATGACGAGAAGAAAAAGAACACCTGCATCCGTTTTCTCTTAATATTTGCTTTATGCGTAACATAAACAATTATCATCCGGAAAAATGGTTTACATTTTGATAAAATTTGATTTAAGGTTGTCAGTCAACCGAACCTGACTTCGACAATGGTATTTGTGTATACGCCTATAATAGTAGTCAAACAATATTAAATAATGAAAATGATACGTGATTTACGCTTATATCGTAACTCGTGTGCTTAATGTAAACAGCTTGAGTAATAACTAAACGCAGAAAAACAAGAACATTTAGTTTAATTTTAGATTTAGCAGGTTGACCCTGAAGCATTCTCGTCTCCAGAGACACTCGGCTAAATTTGTAAAAAAACGACGGGCTCTGGAGACGAAGCCCTGAACCCGCTGACTTCAAGTGTGACACATTCGCTCTTGCAGCAGTCGGTATTCTTAGTGAATCGAAGGATGAGTTTCCACTGCCAATGTTCCACGTTTTTATGAGTTGTGATTTTGTTCTAAAATGCTTTGCCGTTCTAAAGTGTAGAGCTCGGATATAAGCGAGAACAACTGAATAATCTCTGACTCAATTTGTTCAGATACACAGTCTCAGTTATCAGTTGGCAAATAAAATCTGGAAATTTTACTGAATTCGACACCGAGTGATATTGTTTGGATACAATTCCTCATACATGTAAATAAATTCTTAAATTGAATTACATTCGAAACAGTGAAGTTTTTGCTAGAGTTTCCGATTCCTCGATCTATACCGATCAAAAATGTGGTGTTCCTAGATCTAAAGCCCTAGTTTAGTAAGAAAAGGCAGGTATTACTTCTTCAAAATGAGTAAATTACGTTCGTAATTTTGTTTGTTTTCTTTATTTGCGCAGAAATAAGGATATACAAAGGTGTTTACTTTTTTGTCATTACGTTTTTGAACTTCAATGGAAAAGATAATGACGTATCACTGGCTGAGGAAATCTCACTTCCCTTGAGATCACGTTCCCAGGTATAAAATGAATAAGCGCGAAAACCTTCCCGTATAGTCCGTCATAAATAATCTGCCTGCAAAAAGCAGGGTCACTACTTCTCAATCAATCAGTCACAATGAATTTTGACACTTGCTTCAACTATGATACAAAAACAGCTAGAAATGCAATGTTACAAAAAGAATATCTAAATACCTTATGATGTTTCTTGTATGTTTGCTGATCAATGAAAAGGCAGCATTTTTAAACTTAAAATACACCTGCTACCGTAAAGGGTATTATAGTACTCCAGTGTCCTTCTTATGAGGTTATCTTAACAAAAAAGACATTTTTAACAAGGATGTATATATTATTTAAACACCCGTAGGCACTGGTATCAAAATCAAAGTATCGTTTATTAGAGGACAGAACTTTGCTATAATCTTTTGTAAATAAAGTAAAAGGTGTTGAGCAGGTGTATAACGACGGGCAAAGTGTTTTGAGTTTTCTATAATCACAGTTTGGTCCAAGGTCTCCATTAAGCTATAAGGTAAGATTCCCTTTCTTTTATATACGGCCCATAACCTCTTGAGAATATCCTGTAGCCAACATCTAACACGCGCTATATATCCATTAGATTTTTTTCACTAATCTCAAAATAAGCAGCATTTGAAAGTCTTGCTTGATCTAAAGCAACCAAAGTGACAATGCCAACTTTGCAAACTACACCGTTATTGAGAGGACAGGCACTTTTTTAAACTTTCTTTTTCTCCACTATATTTACAAAGCTAATTTGAATAATTCACGCGGGAGAAGAGTTCGTCTTGGAACTATTTTTGAAATCAGAAGAAAGAAAAATTGCTTTATCTGTTGGTGTTACCAACTAAAATTTTTAATTGGACTATTTAATTTTACGTTGTAATTTTCGAAGAGAATAGCAAAGGGTGAGAAAAATGCTAAATTGTGCCCGTAGAGGCATTTTATCAGCTCATTACACGTATATTGTTTCTAACTATGGCCCCATAAACCAAGCGTTCAACTTCCAGGCTGTTTTTTCATCCTCTGTTCAGCTTCAAACGCCACGGATCTCATGTGATGAACCTATGAATAGATCAAACGGTTCGACAATTAATGCGCGCGGGTAGAGGGTACCTTTAAAGCTAGAAATGATTTCAACGACGAACTGACAAAAAAAAATAGGTATTGACGTATACGAGTGAATTACTGGGAGAGTTCAAACCGATACATCGCACTAGTGATGGAATCCAGTCTTGGATTCTGGATTCCACGCCGTGGATTCCGGATCACAGATACTGGATTCCAATCCGTCTTGGTCAGTGGAACTTGGATTTTGGGTTCCAAAAGTTAGCAGTATTCCGTATTCCAAAGCCCTGGATTCCGAATTCCACAAGCAAAATTTCCTGAATTGCGCATTCCACAACCAAAAATTTCCCGGATTCCCGCCAAATTCGAATTCCCTTACTTGGGGCGAGACACATGAACGAATCAATTGCGGCTGCCATATCGGAAAATGTGACATTCTTTGCAGAAATTAACTTCTTAACCTGGCGTGCAGTGTGGGGCTTGAGCATGGAGCGTGGAGTTTGATCCGCCCGTTAAAGCATCATTACCAAGACCCTGTCAAGACCTAACTTGCGACTTTCATGATTTCGTTGTGCAAGTGCTAATAATCTTCATATGATCTCTACCACAGGCGAAGTAACGCTTGATCTCTTTATAAGATGAACACCGTCCACTTTGCTTTTTCATTTGTTGTTTTTGTCGTCGAGGGATATTTCAGAACTACAGCAGATGAAGCTTGCTCTCATTCACGGTACTTTGTAAAGAAGGTCAAGGGTAAGTAATTTATGTCGATTTTTACCAATGGGCTCAAACATTAGACATGAATTTTTAAAACGTTTTTGGTTAGGACTGTAAACTTGAAATTACAAAAAAGAAGAAGAAGAAGAACTGGAGGCCTCCAGATTGCAAGTCCATGTTCAGACCACTCGGCTTACATGCTGCCTTTCCTGCCTCTCGGGTTTGCTCAAAACTTTACACCTGTACTGAGAGTAGTGAAAAAACTGGGGAGAGGCCTGGAGAGGACACCGGGTACCCACCTTATATTTAGGCTAAATATAAATTTCGATGGGCCCCACCCCTCCTCCCTCGTGTCGTAGGGATTCACTTTATAAACAAGCCCTACCCTACCTTACTTAAAGATCTGAATCCGCCATTGAAGAGTTTACCCAGCAAAAAAGCAAGTAAGCTCATCAGTACACAGCAGTTAAAGATAACTTTAATTTGGACTGGAACTAAAAAAGTGCACGTCCGTCATTTTGTGCAGTACTTGAATACATTAATGGCCAAAAAACGGAGATATGATGGCTAACGGTGGTAAAAGTAAGATTGGATCGCGGCTTGTAGTGAATCAAAGAGCGTGTGCCGGTGTTATAAAAATGATTTTCTACAGATTTTCTATTTTTTACAGTCACTGGTTCTCTCTAAGGCCGGCACCGTTGGGACTAGTATTAACTACCCTTCTAAGAAAGGTGTCCACGTGCACCTTTCCACTAGATATTGGATCCAGCGTTTGAGCAACCAGGCCCTTATTGACCGGAGCCAAAGAAGAGAGGTAACGAACGTCAGGTACAAACTCTTCTGACCTAGCTTAGGTGTCCGTTTTAGGAAGTTTTCCCTCCAACAGAGGTGTTCAGTGTTAAAACAGAGCTTACTTGTTAACTCTCACCAGGAAATGCAGTGCTTAGAAACCACGTGATCGCTAAATACTTGGTCACCTCAGAAGTTGAATGTGGCTATCAGTGCACGCGAGAGTCCAAGTGCCTTTCATTTAATTATAAGCACCACTCTGCTTCGAATTCGTTGCTCCACGAATGCGAGATTAACGACTATAAACAGCAAAATGATCCTAAAGGTATCGTGGGTGTGGATGGATTCAACTACTATGAACGTGAGGTACATGATGAACACAAGCTAAAATTAAAAGCCTTTAGTCATGACTGCGTGCTTTAGTTTATCGGGGGCACCCAACGTCAATTTTCGGAAAATATCTGTTAGGAAGACGATTTGAGATCTACAATTTTCGGAATATTTGTTGTAAAATTTCTTGCTTGCCTGCCTCTCCTAGAATTTTCGAACATCTAAAAAATGGTATAATTGCCCATATATTTTTAACGGATTTTAACCTTAAAAAGGTCACCTAGAATTTCCGGGGGCCTTTTTTCTGGCTGAAATTTTCGAAAAGTTAAGTTTTGATCCCTAGAATTTTCGGACCACTAGACTTTCAGCTAGGAAATCTGAACAGATGAAAACGTGTTAGAGGATAAAAATATGCCTATATCTACCGTTTAAGTACTAAAATACGTTTAACAATGCTATGTTTAAGTGGTTTTGAACTATATTCTCGTTGGGTGCCCCTGGTTTATTGTATAGGACGAACGTCATGATACAGCATATGCTTTTCTGCCTTTCACTTGTTTTTACTTGTTTACTCTTCGAATTCTGACTCCTTTGTTGTGTCCTGGTTGTGAAGTAATTTCAATCTCAAAGGGTAACCACTTTCTAAGATTTTTAGCCCCTTTTTTATATCGTATTGTAATTTTAATAGTTGTAAATTGATTCTAAAAACCCCGTTGTTACTGACTATCAATGAACAAAAAGGAAGATTTAAACTAATGACATTACATCTCTCCAATTTAGTATAAAGGAGTAAATGTTATGTGATAGTTTTCGACAGACTCAGGGGTAGTAATTGGTACTTACGGTGTTGAGGGTGAAAAGGTTACTTAAAACAATTTTTGTGGGTGGTCTGAGTCAAACATCTTGACAATGTCTAAATTATAATCAATGGTTTGACTTTTTCAGCCCGACGCTCTTCCCGCGGGAGTTGTTTCGTGTCATGATAACGGTAGGTGTCTTCAGGGACAGGCTATGGTTTCGTATACTGATTTCCAGTAATTTGAAGTTTTCTAATCTAGATAAACTATTCATTCAGCCAGTCAATAAGTCTTGCGCCCGGGGGAGGCACATCTTTAGCTTATTTATGCTGCCCGAAAGGGTGTGGGTTTCTTGGTCTCGAGTTTGAAAAACTCGGTCGAATCGATGCATAAAGGCTCCCAACCCCCCTCCACCCCTGCCCACCCGCGTGGGTTTTAAACAGTTAATTCTTACGAATAAGATGCAAAGGAACTAAACCTCCTGTGAACAACCTAGTGACTTCAGCTATTAATAAATCATGTTCCTGGTAGATTGTTCGTGTATTTGCTCGATTTGCTTTTGTATTCAAGTTGACAAATTCGTTACTTATACAATCAACTGAATGCCCATTTCTTTCAGCTGAGAGTTGCAAGTCTCTTAAAGAGGCAGGAACAAATTTAGATGGATTGCATCACATTAATATACCCAGCATTGGCTCGGTCCAAGTCTTTTGTGATCAATCCACGGACGGAGGAGGATGGACGGTGATTCAGAGGCGTGCCGCGCCTTTCTCGCTCTCCTTCGAAAGGAACTGGGTCGAGTATGAAGACGGCTTTGGAAAACCTGACAGTGAGTTTTGGCTTGGCAACAAAGTTATCCACGAGCTTTCCAAAAGGCAAGTCGAGGTCCAAATTGTCCTTATATCTCGAAGTAATTTGACGGGTCCTGCCAAATATTCCCGTTTCAAAGTTCACGGTAGAAATGATAAATATCGCCTGGAGATATCTGGTTACGTCGGTGATATCGGAGATTGTGCTCTTAATTCTTCAAGGCAATATTTGTCTACTGTGGACTTTGATAATGATGCAACGCCTGACAGAGACTGTGCAGATGAAGAGAACGCTGGCTGGTGGTACAGTGACTGTGGATGCGGAAATTTAAACCGCCAGTTACGACCCAAATGGTATTCCTGGAAAGCCGGCAACGATGACATTATTTATAGCGAAGTGAAGATCCGTTAGTGAATTTACAATCAAACTTCTCTCCGTAGATCCTTTATAAAAAGATTCCTGCCGCTCTTTGGACCACGGTACTCTAAACCAGAAATCGACTGTTTATAGTGCTTTTCACTGGGTTCGTCTTACATAGTGTAACTCGTTTCGGCATGAGTGGGAAGAGGTTCCTACTTTTTAGGGGTAGATAGATGACGTGAGATGACGTCATGAAAACGAAACCCGAATTGGTCTAATTAACGGGATATGATTTATACGGAAACTCTTAAACTGATTATGCTTCGCAGGGCTGTGAAAAGCAATTCTTTTATAGGGCTGATGGACTGTTAAACACACATCAATAACTCCTTACTTTGGCACAATAAATTAGAAATGTCGTTTGGTCTCAGTGAATTCTTTGTCCTTTACATGTGGCCAGCCACGCTCCCTCTTAGTCCAAGGAGCCAGTTGCCAAGAACAGAATTTGTTATATAGCTACGACAGTACGCGCGCTCTGATGGGCTGTTTTGTTGTAATGACCGGGCATTAGCTAGATGTCGAATGCATATACAACCTATTTAACTTGGTAGTGGACATCCTTACGGACATCCATCTGCCTCGTACCCAGAGGTCGTCTCCCGTTTTTTCGGTTAATCACCAGTTACTCGCGTTTCGCGCTCTATGCGAAACCACGCTAAAAACAAAGCGCCTGAGGAGAAGGCAGTTATGGATCCGCTGACCAGTGTCGCCTGACTGTATCGTGGGCTGAAGTGTACAACTCATTAAGGTAACGTGTTTTTTTAAGTTATCGGCTGACCAGTTGCTGTTTTTGATTCATCGAAGGCCCAGTTCCATTAAAAAAAGGCCATACAATAAATAATTAACCTGGTCCGTTCAGTCATTTCAGGGAAATCTGAGACCTCGGCCTTGATGTATTGACCTCGCTATAGCTAGCTCGATCAATACATTAATTTCCCTGTAATGACTTCACCCTCGGTTAATAAGAAGTATATACTGTCCTTTTCGAGATAAATTATTGTGCCATTTGTTATGAACCGTGCAACACTGTCCCTTAGGAGAGGTTCGTTAGCTTTTTATTACAAAAATATCGTACACTTTTGTGGTCCTGACATTTTGTTTTGATCTGGTTAACTTTTGTTTTAGTACTACGCAAGGAACAATAAATTGCACAGACCACCAAGTTTTACAACCGCTTTCAACAGAAGGAGTCAATAGTAGCTTTGCACCTCATCTACTATGAACATTGCATGATTGTTGACAATTACGTACATTTTATTTACCAGTTCATTATGAGCCTTGACAACCAGAGATAAACAGATTGACTTATTTTTACAACACTGGTAGTAATGCATAAATCTCAACGATCATTCAATTTAAGCTGCCTCTTCCCGCCAGTGGAGGATAAAGGGTGAAAATCTGGAGAGGAGTGTGGTCTCTTCAATCCCGCTTTTCCTAGTTATTAACTCAAATCCCCACATAACCGTTTCATTGTTTTGAAGCACCAATATGGCAGCCGTGACGTCATGTTAAACTACACTGTATATTCAAAATAATAAATTTTGCAGGAAAAATAGTAAAAATATTAAAGTTCTATAAAACTCAGTTAAAAAGGGTATTTTCTCAGAGTATCCTTAACCCCTTTGAAAACCTAGAACAGACAATGCGAAAAGGTGAAAGCTTTACAAGCAAAATGGGGACAAGCGAAACGATCATTCAAGAGAGGCTGGATCGGCCTGTCGTTAGTGTTGCACCGCCCATCATCATCTTCCTTTAATTAATATAATATATATAAGGGTGTCTGTAAAATATTTCCTCATTCAGTCATTACTTTACGTCTGTGGATGCAATCCTATGGTGTAACCTCTCAAATGAAACCTGTCGAGCAATACTTTCACATGGTACTATTTATTACATTCATAAACAGGTTTTATTTTTTGAATCTGTGGATACAATTTTATTCCAGTGTGGGTTAGGGTTTGGCCAATCAACTGAAACCTTTTCAGCTTTACTTTCACTTGGTAATACTAAAAACAAATTTTTGGGATTTTTTCCATTGAATTCGCCAAGCTTTTTGAGAAAAATAAACCCTTCAAACCAAAGAGAATTAGAATGTTCTCAAGGTAATATCTCTGTTCCATTCTAAACAGTGTAGGAGAAATGATATTGGATTGAAGTTTTAGACCAAGGCCAAACTTCAAACTTTTCATGAGACGAACCAAATTGCCATTCGCTAAGTTTGACTGTTAGATCAAACGTCGAACTTAACATGTGGCACGAAAAAGTCTTCAGTCACACAGTTGAAACCCGCTTTGCGGAAGCACGTTTATAACGAACAGTCTTCGTTGTCGCGACGAACAATTCTACATATTTTTTGTTAAATAAACCGCGGAAAAGTTACACCGTCTACCTTCTAAAGCGGACGGATAAAGCGTGTTTCAATTTGACGATCCAAACTCATTCACACGAACTTAACTGAGCCAGACGTCGAGCTTTTCATGAACTTAACTTACTAACTTTGGTTCGTCTCATGAAAAGTTGGACGTTTGGCCCTAATTTTAGATGTTTGTGGTTTTGGACGGTTCAAGACACCACGCAGCCAGAAGAATTGTTGGCTGGTTTCACAGGACTTGAATCTTCCGGTTCTGGGACGGGTTTGACATCTCCTGCTGCACCTTGGGATTTCTGTACAAAAATCAATACGTTGCATTTATGTTCCAGTCAATACGCCACTTTCACATTTTCCATAATGCACCTTATTTGCCACCCACTCCCCCCCGCCAAATTTTCCATAACCTTTGTTTTTCATTTCTCCTGGGTATTACGGCTGTCCAAAGAGAAATTGAAAACAATCCTTAAGCATATTTTTTTTGGGGGTGGGGCAAATAAGGCGCATTATGGGAAATGTGAAGGTGGCGTTATCCAAAACCACCCTTGCCCCCGCCCCCCTCCCCGGGTAAACCCCCGGGCATTTGACTTGTTTTGAAAATTTTCACCCAAGTTTCCCGGTATGTTGGCATTTTAGAGGGTTAAACGCCCCACCGGCTAGCGCTTCAAAAAGCCTCATATCCCCCATCCACCAGCGAGTATTCAAAAATTTCTCACTCGTCAAACCGTTCATTCAAATGTACGTAAATATCCAACTAAAGACAACAGAAATATCTTACGACGTCTTGGAAAGCTGTTTTATGCGGAGGTTTGTTCGTGTCAATAAAATTGTTCATTCCAGCAAGTCCACATTTAACGGGCTTTTTCAAAGGCTCTCAGATGCTCCAACAAACCAATATACATGTAGGAGCAATGACCCGTGAACACGGTGTACATGCTAAAAGTGAAATGAGTTACGAAATCCTTTTTTTGCGACGCTGACCAGCGTTTTGACTGGAAAGTCAAATGCCCGACTGGTCGGACCACATTTTGGGTCAAATTCCCCTCTGCACGGAGCAAAACTCCAGTCAAATGCCCGGGGTATGCCTGGTTTTGGAATTGACTGGTAAACCAACCAAAATCAGCCAGAAACTTAGTTGAGACGCTTTTTCCTTAACGACATTCCTCCCTTCCTACTCTCCCCAAACAATGTGGTGCCTTTCCTCAAGCTACTTGTTCTACAGTCATGGAGTTAAGTTTTGGGACAAAGAGATTTCCATTCGTGGCGCGTATTAAAACAACACAAACCCAACCCATCCCCGACCAGATATACAACGGTGAGCCGCGTGTCCACAATTCGTCCCGAGTTTCAACATTGTACAGGGTGGAGTCGGGAGAGAGAACTCCAAGGCATTTGTGAAAAGATAGCCCTGCGTTATGAAGAAAGGTAAACCAAATGTAGCTCTAATGGCGATGAAGAATAAGGTACAGTAATAGCGAAATAACTTTAATGGCCCTTATACATGATTACGTCAGATAAGCCAGTTTCACCACCGAGCCTCCGTCGTTTGTAAGCAAAATTCTGCGCATTTCCAATCTTTGTGCGTGGGTATTCCTTTCAACTCTATTGCCTTGTGGCAACTTTACAATTTCAAATCGAGTCGTCTGATGTAAACATGCATAAGGGCTATTCATTGGTATGGTAATAAAAGACCCAGGTGGATACTCGACAAAGTTTTACACGGGGTAGGCTCCGTCCGAGGTCCAACCCCTTACCCTTATATATACCATTTTTGATGGAAAAGGTAAGATTCCCTTTTATCCCTTCTATCCACAAATGGTATCCCTTTCACATACCTAGTTTAGAACTTTGCATCCCTTTTACTGCTGTAAGTGCACTGTCTTTTAAATTTGAATACATAAAAACAGAATGTTTCTCGATATTTTCACAGACATAAAATGCATCTGTTAGCTCTTTCGGTCCTTTTTACTGACCGAAATAACAGATTTCCATTCCATTTCATATACCTCAAGAATTGAAGTCCCTACCCTTTCATATACCTGACGCCTGAAAAAAGTACCCCTTTGGGGCAGAGCCTCCCCGTATCGGCAATTAAAGAGAGTTCCCCCCCACCCATCACCCCGGGATAAAAGACCTACCGGTTGTGGAGGATGAGCCTTGGACACATCAAATCCAGCATAAGTATCGCCTCCCCACATGGCATGGGGTGCTGGCAGTGTAAACTCTTGAGGGCTCGCTAATCCATGAGTGGCTTTCAGCTCCAGATCTGGAGCCTCTTCTGGGATCTTATGGAAATAACTTAAGAAAAAGGTAAACGTTAGACTCCTATCAAAGTCTCTCGTGCGATAACAGAAACACCAGTCCTTTATACATTAATAATCTTCCGATTAACTAAAGGTTAAAGCGGTATGGCCTAGGCAACGGTCCAGTTTCCGCCCCAAGGCAAGTGTTTTCCTTTTTCTTGCGCGCAATGCCTTCTCTAATTCTTGAGTCTTCCGTGCTATCTAGAAAGGAAATAGCAACTACCTAGTAAAATTTTTACCAGTGTAATTTATAAGTGTAGGTATCGTTTTAGGGTCCGAAAACAATAGCTACACTAATAAATTACCCTTGTAAAAGTTTTATTAAATTGACCTCTGGCCTATTGGCGGGTCAATGTACAAGTAAATGACTTACATGAAGCCATTCTCGTGGGTAGCTTTCTCTAGCTTCTTCCTAATGATGGGGCCTAGTTTTAAAAAGAACGGATGTTCCCAGGGCCTTGCAGTGGTGCCAGGGCCCTTGGTACTAGAGTACTCGCGGGATATTGCTTCGGCTTTCTTGTACACTGAGGACAGAAAAGCAAGAGAAAAGGTTTGGTGAACAAAACAGTAGAAATCATAGTTTTCAAAACTCTAACATTTGCTCTATAGACGAGGTACAAAGTAAGCCCATCACTGCCAAAGTGGTCAAATTTAACATTTAACTGCAATCAAATTTCCAAATTTCATTACATAGAAGTTCCTGAAAAATTGATAAAACCGTGTAAAAGTACTGCCAAAGAGATTTCATTTGAATGGTCACATCAAAGGATTTCGTCCACAGCCTCAAAAGTTAGAACTACCTTACAAGACTCCTCATGTACTTTGGCAGTGAGAGCTTTAAGGCTCATCATATTTTCTAACGTAACTGGCAAGTCTCTTAGTTAAGTTGTTCCAGATCGAATCACTTATGAACGTCTGGAACGGGTGAACGGCTGCTTCTCTTTAAATTTCCTTCTTTTTACTAACTGAACATTATAACAACGACAACAAAAAAACATCAAGAATTACTTTTATCACTCTCCCGCAAAGCACGGATTGCTTTTCCACACTGATCCTCTTCCAGCAGAGTGTCTCCAGAAAAACAATGGGCCTGCAATGAACATGAACAAACACCAGCCTCTGGTATTTAAAGAACCTCCCCAACTCAGCTACTAACATCTGCATATAAAACACCACTTTCAAGCAAGAACTTAAAGATTAACGTTCAATAGAGGTCTCCATAATTATCATCCCAGTCAGCCGGGCTGACCACCTACAAGGCCTGCCTTCTCGAGATGAACACATTAAATTTTATTATTTTACAGAGAAATAATGGCGAAGCGAAATCTCGGAAGAGGAGGAGGACCTTGATACATTTGGACCTTAAACTCAACGCAGCCACCTCTGATTAGTATTTGTAAAACAAAAATTAATAATATGAAGAATATGTGCGAGTGTAAAAACTTCAAACAAATATCTTCTCAAGGAAACACATAAATTTTGACTAAGACTGAGTATTTCAGCACCTTCGAGTCGATGATAGAAGAGATTTTCGCAGATGTGAAGCTTTAAAGCTCTTCAAGAGAGGCTCAGGTTTCAGAGGCTCTGAAATTTCGAATGATGTGTTCTTCCTCCATACAATTTCTTTCAAAACCAAACATTTGACGGTATACTGTTTCCGTTCAGTAACAAGGGCTTGAAGAATTGAACTTACGTAAGACAGATAGAAGGCAGCTTTGAGATCCAAATATTTCTTCCATTTCCCTGCCTTGAGTGGATCTACGGACTTCAATTCGTCACCTGCAAAAATAAATTCACGTGGCATCAGTTAGAGCTTCTTTAAATGATGTGTATCGTAGATTGCTACCTAGACACTTCTAACCGAGTTGTTCACAAGCTTGTGGATGATGCCATCCATCAGATAAATCTTTTCAAGTGGATAATTAATTAAGTAGTAGGAAAACCGATTGCATTATTCACTGGAGAGATATTCCTCCACTGGAGGGCACTATCTATTTTGTGAGCAGCGATTGGCTAAAAGAAAATCTCGCACAAATTCTCCACCAAAAGTAAACTGAGTTACAACTTGCTCACACATTTATTTTTACGTTTGACGCAGGATATAAGCAGTTGCTTAGTATTCCAGCACCAGATCAAGAAAGGCATCCAAAATTTATTCGTAACAAAATGTTTCTGTTGTCATCTGACAGTGCTAAGGATAAACAACTGTACATCCGAGATTAAAATGGCTTGGTAAATTCGCTGCATCGCCTGCCTCAGGTTTGTCAGAGCCTGTTGACATTGAGGTGGGGGACCCCAGGTAGGTGAGATAACCTTCTTATGTGGGGTACCCACCTGTCCATATAATCTCATTTTAATTTGATCACGTTTACATGATAGGTGGGGTGACCATGTGGACAAAATGGTGGCCCCACCTAATCGGGTTACCTGCATATAACCAACCTTGGGTTTCCCACTTTCATACATGTATAATTTGTGTAAACAGGCTCTCAGTCTAATGAGTGCTACATTGTTCCGAAATAGTACCGACGTAAAGTAAGACGCTTTATCTTAAGCTAGAGCAGCTAAGTGCATCTCTGCAATAAACAATGATTCACATTCATGAATTCGACTCCTTATCGCTACTCTGCCATTAGGTGCGGTATCACTTTTAAATTGGAAAAAAAGGATGAAAAAGACAACACTATCGGCTAAATCAGTACCTAGTGACGTAATCATAATCAGATCTCAACTTGCGCAAGGTCCTCATCCTAGCCATGAAGTATATTACCTAACACATGAACTAATTGAATTGTTACTAGTAATGATCAGCTTACCTGCATCAGTAAATAATTTTGATGTCTCATAGGTGAGAGCCGAGATGAGTGATGCTTTATGTTTAAGTTCCACTGCTCGAGCCACAGTCACTGAAAAGAAGGAGAAAATGGATGAGGTAGTTTAGTGTTAAGAGATAATCTTTGAGATATACGCTTTTTATAAGACCTAGTGTTTATTAAAAAAAAAAAAAAAAGAAGGCCTTGCAGAATTAGAAACTCTTCTGTTAACTCTATGTTGTATGGTGCTGGCCCCAGTAGTTCAAATGTTGGATAGTGCTATCCATCAGATAAATCACTATCCAGTGGATAGCTACTACAGTGGAACCCCGATATAACGATATGCCAAGGGAGCAGCGGAATTAGATTGTTATATCGAGGTATCGTTATATCGAGACTCCCGATATAACGATATTGCCATAATAACCGAAAATATCGTTATATCGGGGTAAAATGAACATGTACTTTTTTTACTACATAATTTGTTTAAGTAAACTTGTAATGAGTATCAAATGACTAACAAATGTAGCGTTTCAAGCACGCAGCAATGTCCTTAAACAATTTGCAAAGCATTAGACGTTATCAAGGTTACACAACAAAGTCTGTGGTATGAATCGTAAAAGGGAAACAAAACAAAACTTAAACATTTGAAGTTGCGACTGTAATCGTCGTTACTTTTCGCTGTCTGCGTGTTCATTGTTTTTCTTTTTTAACAAACACTTGTTCATTAATTAAAGTACTCTTCAAGTTTGATTTGCCTCGTTTGTTTTATTTGCAATCTTGAAAACACATCCTCCATCGCTGAAAGAGAGGAAAGGAATTCTCTCTCTTGTTCGTCCGAATCATCCAACGTAATAATAAAATCTCTAATTGCTTACTTTTTGTCACAAGGAGTCAAAAATACCAAAACTGAAAGAACTATTAAATGACAAGGAGGATAAAGAGGCATCGTAAACTGAAAGCTGTTGACAGAAACGTTACAGATTACTGTACTCGATTCCTGTAATGTTATTGTATTAAATTCAATGTTTTGTTTAAATTGTATCTGTGTACTGATACTGTAATATCGTTATATCGGGGAAGATTTTACGCTCGGTGCCCTTAAAACTCATCGTTATATCGGGAATATCGTTATATCGAAGGTCGTTATATCGGGGTTCTGTCCCATACATTTTACTGTAACTTTTGCCGGGACATAGCATATTTATCGTTATACCGGGGATATCGTTATATCGAGGATCGTTGTATCGGGGTTCCACTGTATCAGGGAAACTGATTGCATTATCTACTGGATAGAGATTTATCCCCTGAATAGCATTAGTCCAGCTTTTGAAGTACTGGGGCCTGGTCGGAGAGTTCAACCTTTACCACTGCATTGGAAAAACAACTGGATACAGCTGCTACACAAAGCTCCTACCAGTTGCTCTGAATGTCAGTTAGTGGAATGACCACATAATTATTATCTGACAAAGAGGCACCGGATCTAGGAGGACTTGACTCCGAATTCAACAAGTCTCCAAATATGCCAGCTAGCTGCTGTGAGTTTAGTGGCCACTGTTGTAGAAGCAAGATCGACTGAGATTATTTCCCAACGACTACTTTCAGGACCAAAACATGGCAGACAGTCAAGGGGACACCCAGCAACGACATTCATTGACCAAGGAGAGAGTGAGATACTAGTCTTAGAGAGTAGGAAGTTCAGTCTGTCATGGCTTACAGAAGGGAATGGGACAGACTCATCAAATTGGTGCGGGTGCAGTGGAGTACTCTTCATGCACTACTGCTAACTGGTCATTTCAATCCAAGGCTGTTTCGATACAAGTCATTTCAATATGAACTCAAGGAGTGAAATTGCACAAAAAGTCTGGGTACCTCATTACAAGTATAGTTTGCGCGTGAATAAGAAAAACATTTTGGGTGATTATTTTTCTTTCTTTTAAATAAGCCAAGTACATGAAACTACAACGCAACCGTGAATAAACTTGTATTGAAATGACTTGAATTGAAAGGAATTTGTATCAAAATGACTGATAACTTCAATACTAAAGCTAGCCTGGTACCAGGTTCCATAGTGGGGAAAAAAAGCTAAAAAATTAACTGACAATGTACCACTAAGCAAGACTCCAGCACTAACCTTCCTGGGCTTCTGCAACACACTGCTTCTGATAAGCAGCCAACACTCTTTGATCAGTGTCTGCACCCTTCTCTGCCGATAACTCACCAAGGCGTGGCATCAGACTTTCCTGTAAAAATAATTGATTGTGTAAATAAATTTACTTACCATGCGGAAAATACAATCACAGCAGATTACTGTATGACTAAAATAATTTTTAACATGAGTTTAGGACAAACCACTTTAATACTACGACTACAACCAGTAGTACCTTTACAAATTTAAATATGCCTGCTGCCGTTCTAAGGGTTGTGTGGACTTCCTTTGCTTCATCCATAGTAACCCTGTGGAGACGAGAGCAATATTGAAGGCACCAACACATTTCACACGGTTCATTCAAGAAAACTTTGACGACATCAATTTGCATGTTGTATATGTTTTTTTTTTTCAAAATGAAAACAAAATGTACGTGACACTTGTATATGTAAATTAAACTGAAAAGTATCATTGATTGACCTCTGATAAATTGCAAAAAATGTATATAAAAAGACAGAGTAGGGCTATCTTAAAGTTCCAATGAAAAACATCTCACAAAATTCCTGCTTTCATTTTTTCAATAGGCTATTTGCACAAAAGTGTTATTTTAACTACCAGAATCCTTTAGGGTTTTGCTTTCTTTCTCAGCAAATTAGGACTTTTAATGATAACTAGGCAGTATTTATGGCACTTATGCTAGTGGGGCCGAGCAAATGGCTGATTTATGAAACAAATAATTCAAATCAAACATAACAGGGTTAAGAATTCCAACTGGCCAGAGGCAAACCAGCTGGCTATTTACAAGCCGCGTGGTCGAGGATTTGAACTCAGGAATACCGTGAACAAATCCAGCCAGCGGTCAGAGCGGGACTTCAACTCGAGGCAGGCTGCGAATTGCAAGTCCACAGGCTCTCTAACCGCTTGGCAAGGCTGCCTCCTTTTGCTATTTAAACCTCTCTTGGATTACCAAATTTAAAGATGAAAGAATAAACAAAATGAATTCTGGTCTTAGTAGTGAAAAGATGTCATTGTGCAAATTAATGACCCATTCAAATTGAAAATGCTATATTAATATTACTTACTCTCCCTTAGCTGCCAGTTTAGCTGCATACTTTGTGTACCAAATGGCAACATCAATACACATGGATGTTAGTTCAAAAACACTGTCAGCCTCACATCTATAGAAGATAAAAATTAATAAGCAATGCTGTGTCACATCAGAATAATCCCATTGTTATCAATTCCGCTGTTATTGAAATTAACAGTTTGACTCAAAGTAAATTTTAAAACTGTGACTCATGATCAGCACTTCATTTACTGTAAACTCAGTTTATAGGTGTACATGAAATCACAAGTGCTACAGCTGCATGTCTATACCTGCCAACTTTTTCTGAGATGTAGGCGTGAGATTTTTATCCTGGGAGTGCTGGGGTTTTTGAAAACGACACGATCATTTCCGAAGATTCCCAAAGAAGTCCGAAGTCTTCGGAAGACGTCCGAAGTCTGCCGAAGGCGAAGTTATCGAGAAAACGCTTATCCACAAAATCAGAGATCGCGAGGAAGGTATTGTCATTTATTCATTTTACACATGGTTTTCGTTCCTTACATGGGTCTGAGTTAACATATTTTTGGAAATTGTGTCAAGCAAGACGGCAACAACTCACATTTTTCAATCAGGCGTGAGAAATTGGTCCGCAGGCGTGAGCGGGCATGAGATCGAAGTTTTCAACCCGCAGGCGTGAGACTCACGCCTAAGGCGTGAGAGTTGGCAGGTATACATGTCTATGGAGAGCTTCAACAAGCCAACAAAATGCAAATAAGGTATTAATCAATGCCTTTCAAAGCAGATAGATGAGCCAAATATTATCATTAAATCAAAGTGCAATATTAATGTCAAACAGCACAGCTACTATAAATCCTGAGGGGGGGGAGGCACTTGATACAGACTGCAAGCAGTCCCTCTTTGCTCGAGACTCTGTAAGTGACCGAGTGGGGTATATCAGTATTTGAGCAGCAAAGCCGCGAGTAGCGAGTTGTGCCCACACCAGTATGAGTGAAAAGAGGGACATGTACACGTATAGGTTTCCTACAGTATTACCGGAGCTCGGCACTATGGTGATGGCCAATGGCTGGTCAAGATGGTACTTATCTGTCATCAAAAGCTCATCAACATCACTTGGAGACCCAACCCATGCTTAAATCAACATCTCGACCTGGCATCAAGGCACCCAAGACATCTGCTACCATATTAAGGCAAAAGAAAGTTGCTAGGGACCACCAATTGAGTATGGTTAGGGCAAAAATCCTCTGTATGCCAGGAGAAAAACCAGAGATAAAAAATATCCTAGCCTGAAACCCGGCCAGTGCCATGTTAGCAATGGACTTCAGTGATCGCTAAGTAATGATAATATTTTCCATTAAATTTATTTTGAACATCTGAAATCAACTGAAGGCAAATAGATAGAATCAAGTTTGACTTATCTGACTACCTGACTGTATCTATTGTTTTGGAAACTTACGTTGGCGTATTACCACAAATAGAGTTGGTCCACTTAAACATGACTAACTTCCGGAGCTTGCTGTCACCAGACCCTGCGACAGGATCATTAATAAGGCCATGGAAAAAGGACAAGTATATCTCTGTTGCCTGTTGAATTGACTTGGCATCATTTGAAGGATCTGTTAGATAATTTAGTAGCTTAGATCTTGCCAGCTTCAATTCTCTGTAAAGGTGAAAATGATAAATGTCACTGGATGCATATTAAACCTTATTAAGTCTTCATAATATATATGGTAAAAATTACTTTAATTATTATACAATAACCTTTTATCTAACCAGATTGGCAGTATTTAGCACAAAGCCTAGTGTGGCAGAGTAAATGCATGATTTGTTTAAGCTGAACGAAATATTCATCGCAATAGTTTTTAAGAAGAGTTTCTGGAGTTGTCAACTCTAAAAAGTAGTTCTTTAAAGCAAGTGTTTAAAGCAAGTGTGCTGATTTTGAGCGAGAAATATCCCCGATAGTTGAGATAAATAAATGAGCAGAACACATTGATCAAAAACATATGAACAACCTCTGGCGTGACAGTTTTCTTTAGTGGCCATCAAGCTTCAAATGTTTGGCGGCAAAACGCGTCATGTCTGGCATCCTATTAGAACATGTTTTTTTGCCTCGTGTCCATGCTTAGATGCAACTGATGGTAATTAATGTTGACAAAATACAAGGACAGAGGTTACACAAGGACACCCAGTCACCTGTGGTACTATTTAATTCATGACTGCATCATCCAGTCAAATTGTGTAATAGTACAAACCCCACTCAAGTTTAAGGAATGGAGCATAACACAATAAGAACTTTGGTTATTCACTGAAATACAAATAAGTGGACAGGCATTCTAAAGTTTAGCCCAGATCTGTCACTTTGACAGGTAACATTTGAAACAAACCAGATTTCAAAATTCTGATCTTCTACTACCTGTTAAACAAATGGACCGCTGGGAGCTTTTTTTATAATGCAATATTAAATCTATAAAATGCCCCATGAAAATGAGTTTTAAACTTATAATACATTCATCCTTCTCAACTTTTTTTTTGCACACTAGCTTCATCTAACATGTTCTCAAATACTTGCCATATGACAAACTTTTCCACTTTTCTAGACATGAGAGCTTGTGAAAATTACCGTTCAGATGTATTTTTGTTCAATGCATCCCAAGGGAATTAAACAAGTAAGCTTATATTCCAGTCAATAGTAGGCCTGTATAAGTCACAACAAAAAAAATAACTTAAGCTCAACTCACGATAACATCTTGGAAGAGGAAGAATTGGCCGCTACATGACGAATTGACTCGAATGTCACAGGAGCAGAAGCTTTTATCGGATTTCTGTGAAACCAGTGCGCCATTGTGATGCTGATGATGTGCTGATGTTACTATTTTTATCTGCAAATGTAATTTTTCTTTCTCCGCGTAATCTTCCGTGCGTCCTATTTGACAACAGTGATTTTTTCAATGTTTTCCGCTGACAAACTTTTCCGATAGATTTCGACATCGTGGCAAATCGTCGGAAAAATTTCCGTTGTTTTCATTGGTCTTCATTAGTTTTACTATCTTCGTAGATCTTCGTGTATTTTCGCATTTTGTTTGTTGCTTGGTCAGCGGACTAGCAAATCTCGCAGATTCATGTAAGCTTACATGACATAGCGGACGTTGCGTTCACGCGGACATTCGCGCGGTTTTTGAAGAGAAAGTGATTTGTTGATGATTATTCACATTCAAATCTTCTGTCTCTTTTTAACACAACATCAAATGGCACTTGCCAACAATGAAGCAAGGATTTTGGATTCTTTGAGGCCGATTTTCCCGCAGCTAAATGACACCGTTATCTTAAACTGCGTCAGGAATGTACGAGAAACGGTAGGAAGTGATCCGCTCTCAATCATTCCAGGCTGTATCGATGTCCTCTTAGCTGAACAGTCTTTTCCCGAAGTTCCTGTTCCTCAGAACAGACCAGCTGCTGTGACCATTTCGCCCCACAATAACGATCCTGCAGGAAATTTTCGGATTCAAAACAACGATGACGATGTTATTTTCGTTGCGAGCACTTCCCGCTCGCCCAAGACCAAAGCTCCAAGCCATCATGTTATCAGTTTGATCGATGAGAATGAAGTGACAATTATCTCGAACACCAAGTCGCCTGCTTCGAGTAATAACACGTTAGCATCTCCTCAGTCTCTAAATACAAGTAGACCAACAGAAACGAGAACAATTTCTGTAACTGAGAGTACATTTTCATCTACCACGGCGACAACGGGCTCGAAAGGAGAACGCGATGTTCAGTCTAAAGTTTGTCATGTTGAAAAGGCTCTCGATCCAGCGGAGGAGGCGTTGAAAAACCTGCGGTCTTTATTTCCCGATGTAGAAGACGCCTATGTTCAGACGTTGTTAAAGCAGTGGTCACATATCCCACTATATGAGGCTGTAAACAATGCTTGTAATGAATTGTTAGAGAAGAAAGATTATCCGAGAAAATCTCCATCCCCTATTTCAGTTACAAACCCAGTGGATGACCAGAAAGATAAAGACTACTTTCAGGATTTCTCTACCAGGGTATCAGACAAATTTCGACATCAATGTTTTATCCTTTTGCAAAATGATTTCAGAATGATTCCAGTTAAATACATTAGGTTGGCTATGTCAAAGTTCAAAGGTCATTATGCTCCCTCCAAAAGGTATTTGCAAGAACAGCTAAGGATCTCTAACACTTCTAATGAAACCAGCACATCAGCTACAACTTCTGCAGTACAGGGAACAACTTCATCCTCATTGAAAACAGAGCAGACCAGCTCAACATCCAGCCGTAACTTTTTTGTTCCTCCTAAAATAGTTTTGTTAAGATGTGGACGTCCTCTAGTCTCAGGTTTTTCAAGAAGTGTAAGTGATAAAGAATTGCAAAGAGAGATTGATTTTATGAGAAAGTATGAGCTATCCAGAAGTGAGGAGATGGATCGAATGCTTGCTGCCAGCTTAAATGATGAACAGTATGAGGAGGAAGGGCAGAAAATTGAATGTGGCTGTTGCTATAGTGATGCAGCTTTTGAGGACATGGTTCAGTGCTTGGAAGGTCACTTATTTTGTGCGAGCTGTCTTATGAACTATGCTAAAGAAGCAGCGTTTGGTCAAGGTAAAGCAACACTCACATGCCTGACTGACGGCTGTGATGGTACTTTTCCATTGAGCCAGCTGAAAAAAGCGTTACCAACCAACATCCTGGAGAAATACGAAGATCGAGTGAAAGAGGAGTCTCTGTTATTAGCCCAGATGGATGATTTTGTACGGTGTCCTTCATGCGATTTTGCGGCAATTCTGCCGCCTGAAGTCAAAGTGTTCAAATGCCAGAATCCTTCTTGTGCCAAAGAAACTTGCCGCTATTGTAAGGAGGATTGGTCTGAGCACTTTGGTTTAAGATGCAGTGAGGTTGAGAAATCGGCACAAAAAGATGTCCGGCTCTCTTATGAAGAAAAAATGACAATGGCAAAGATACGGAAATGCCCCAAGTGTGGCTGTGAGTTTACCAAGTCAGATGGTTGCAACAAAATGACCTGCCGCTGTGGAATGAAAATGTGTTATGTCTGTCGCAAGCCAAACATTGGATACAATCACTTTTGTCAGCACCCAAGGGATCCTGGCAAACCTTGTGCTAAATGCAAAAGCTGCTCCCTTTGGAGTGATCCTAGCGAAGATGATGACCGTGCAGTAAAGGAGATAGAGAAGGAGGCTCTTGAGGCAAAGAGAAAGTTTGAAGCAGAAAATGTACCGTCAGAGGATAACCCTGCTAAAAAATCAAAGACAAACTGAATGCTTTGCATATGTACACTGAACTTGGCTTGATAATAGGTGAAAGTGCAGATCAAATTCATGGATATTTACATTGTCAGCATGTACATTGTATGGTACATGAGATCAAACAAATATATAGCATGCAAAAACAGTCGTCTGTCCTCACTCCTTGCCACTACATGTAGTTGCATTTCGCCAGGAAGGATGTCTTTGCTTCAGCGACAAATTCCATACTGTTGAGGTAAATCAATGTTTACATAATAAATTCATTAGTCATGGGGTTCCAAATGTTAATATGTTCAGTTTTATGCTTTTTGTGGTCGAGGTATGGTAATATTTTGTGTTCTTCAGTGAACAAGCTTCAGCAAAACTATATAATGTATTCCACAAAAATCGACTGTTTGGTAGAAGATTCATCAGGTTTACATTTTACTTATGTGACCGTTTGTCTTTTGTCCGCCATGTGTAAGCAATAGCTTAAACAATATAACTACTATGTTACTGGACCAATCAGAACTCCCACCCAGATTCCGGACAGATCATAAATCATTAGAATAAAATTTCTGTTGCTGAGATGCAGACTTCCCTCCTGGTGTTAGTCCCTAGGAACGAGGGGAGATGGCTGTTTTTGCAGGCTAACAAAATTAATACAGACCTTGCAGTTGACTGAGACAAATGAGAGAAACAGGTCATTCGGTTTGGTATATGTAATTAGTACTGTAGGCAGGGAGTGGAACTGTTGACAAGTTCCTTTGGTTCTATTTTCCTTTTCTTTCCTAGTAGCCAGGGATTATACTCTTAACCCTTTAAGTCATAATAGTGACCAATATCAATTTTCTCTCAACAATATCTGTACATTGTCAAGAGATTAGGTTATGAGAATTAATAAAATGAACACTAAAAAAAAAAATTCTTTGATCTTTTATCAAATGCTCTCAACACATATTCTTTAATAAGATGTATAGAGATCAGTTTGGAGAATTTGTCTGTGGATATTGGGGCTTAAAGGGTTAATAGCCTGAGGAAATACCCAGCCACAGTCCCTTAGTGACAGCCCTGAAAATATTTTATACAATGTATAATCATGCAAGGGTGTACTAAAGCAACACCCACTAGACTGAATTTGTATAACTCATTCCTTGTATGCTAATGAGGCATGCAATTAATTTATTGTTAAGACCAGCTTCTGTACTCAAGGGCAATTCACGCTGAAATGTACATGTACTGCACTTTTTGAAAACAAATGGTAGTTATCTGAACCAAGAATATTCTGTACGAGGCAAAGGCAGTACTTTTGAATAATTTATATACTTGCCTTTTTGCTGATTTTTGTGATCTTTTCAGTTACTACAGCCGGACGAAAACTGCGGCATCAGTTGTTTGAAAGTTTTCAGTTAGTGAGGAAAAATCCAGCGGCTGAGACGTGTTTTTCTCAGTATTTGCACAATTGTTCGGGAGAAACACGAGTGAAACTCCGTCATCTTGTGTAAAATCAGCAACCAACATGATTCCAACTGTCTTTCAATTCAGAATTTGTAGCAGTGGTTTCAGTTTGGAGCGTGCCTTCTCCATTGTTCTTCTCATCAGCATTTAGCGATTTTCATTAGCATATTATAAGGAAAAAGTAATGCGAATTCACTCTACTGGCATTGTGGAGACTTAATTTTGTCTTGTGGAAAAAGCCCCACTATCTACGTACATGTACAGTAAATTATTTCTTCAGGTTGACTTCATACATGTACATTTCCATGTATGTTAAGAGAATTTGCTAAAAAGATCGAAATATTTTATGTTTGGTGATAAACTGATTAATTCAAAACCTTTTTCTCTTAGTTAGTTCCCTAGGCACTAAAAGGGTTAAATGGTCATGAAGGGCTGTTTACATAGACATCACAATGTTTCTCTGGGATTGCCAATTTATTTCATATTGTGTTTAATACATGTTTTCTTCTTGACCTGTTATACCAACATACAATGATGCTGTCTTGATTTCAATAAAATTTAGTCGCCCCAGTATCATGTAAACACCCATTAAGGCACAGCCTTCTTCCTATGATAATCTTGACCACCAGCTACATGTACAGTTCTTTTAAAAAGCAAATAATTAGCAGTTTTAATGTGATTCTTGTTTCTTCAGAAATTAAGTACAATTTATCAGTCATTGAAAGTCAAGGTTTCAATCACAATTTGTAAGAAAGAAATCATGAGGTTGTACATAATTATTAAGAAGTTTTAGTTGGTTTTGTTACCGTTTTATGCTTTCTAGTTCCGCATTGTGAAAGTGTTTTTCTTGTTCTTTGTGAGCAATTCTTTTCTTTGAGGAAAGTAAACATTAAACCACAAAGAACATTGAGGTACAATACCAAAAAAATAATGGAAACAAAAATCGAGGTACGATTAATGTTTTTTAGTGACACATTATAGATTTATTATAAAGGATAAAAAGAAAAAGTAGAGAATTACAACATCAAGAATGAATACTTGTGGATAAGAAGTGACTGGGTGCACTGTATGTTCAGAAGGAAGCTGCAATTTTGGAATAATGAATGTTTCATGTTTTACAAAATGAGTACTTTATAGTTGATTGTAAAAAGCAAAGATATTGAGTTTATATGGTATAAATGATTGATTAGTATTATTATTGATCTCACTGAGCTGTTTTTTTTTCTGCTGTGGTTAGACTAATGCATGTGGTTATTGTTGCATGTAATCTTTCAAGAGTAGAAAGACTGTTGTTCTTTCTCAAATACAGTATGAATGTCAACTGAATTACCTTGGGTAGTAATTATAAAAATATTAAATGAGTATTATCTGATGTTTATTACTGTATCATTGCATTATCATTGTCTTTTTTTTTCAGTTTATAGATTTCCATCTAATCTTTTCTCCATTTCCATTCACAATAACTTGGGTCTCCTGTGTCATAATGCAAGTGACTTTTCTCTTTGTAATGAACCCATGGGATCCTACGGAACTCAGGGGGTTCATCAAGTACCGACGACCGACGAAACGCGTCGGCTACTTTGCTCAGAGCAGTCGCCTACTTTTTTCTCCAAAAAAGAAGCAATAAGTTTTAAAAAATGTTGTGAACAAAAGATATATAATTAAATCTGAATTAAAACGTAAGTTAATTATGATGACTTTTCAAGGTCCACTGATATGTCATGCTTTAGGTACACCAGAAGCGCTTCTGGCTACTTGCAATATTATGATAATAAATGTCTGGTCTTGTCTTGTCTTGTCTTGTTGCACAAACGCTATATTTCAGTCAATTGTTTTCTACGTTTCTTTGTAGGTTTATGCAGAATTTGTTTATGTGCAAATATACTTAATTTTGAATATCAACATTTGCTCATTGCTGGTAAGAATTGATTGTGTGGCTATGAAACCTGAATGAAAGCTTTATTTTCTTGAAAGAAAAACAAGCTCTACTGTTCTCAATTTAGTCCCCGGAACACTGGAAATCTCATTTTAGGGCTTCGAAATTCCAAAATTTTCTGGGGGAGCACACCCCCAGACCCCCCAAGAAGAAGGGGTCTAACGGCCCCTTGTTGATACAGTCGGTTACTCTATCCAAACCTTCTGGCTACTTCAATTATTATTGAAACCCCTGGGAACTACTATTCTGCAATGCAGCCTATATTGCCATGTTTCCTTCCATTAACTGCCATTGTAACTCCAAAATAAAAACACACGCTATTGGGCATGTTAAAAAGTGTTACAGATCAGGGCGCGGTTCCTCGAAAGATGGTCAAGTTTAACCCAGGATTAAGCCAAATTTCAAGCGCGGTCGAGATTGCACAATACTGTTGAGCCTTTACAACGAGATACCGTAATGATAACACAAAATGTCACCCTAAGCAATGCATAGGAATGTAAAATACAAAAACGGAACAAAATTTTAATCCTGGATTAACGCTAATCTGCCTCTCAGGAACCGGGCCCAGAAGCCTACAATGCGCGGTATTGGTTTTGCATGAGCTATACATGCATGTGTGTATGTCTATTCGTCTTGCTATGGTTACAGAAAGATTTCCTAGTGCCTAGACAGAATAGAAGTCTATTTAATGTAATCTTAATGAGGGAGAAAAAAAAGCCCCCACTCCAACGCCTCCGCCCAACATCCGGAAGGCCCTACTCCTGGCCCACACAGCTCGGAGCTTTCTTGCCAATGCATGCTGGTCGCGGTCGCTTATGAGATGTGGTCGTTTACGAGAGGTTTAATTATAGGGCTTGGAATGGGAAAAATTTCATGTGTTTTAAAGAGGTGATCGCTTACGAGGGGTGATCGCGCATTTAGCTTTGACTATATTTCTCAGGTAGCAATGCAATAATTGCAATCCAGTTAAGGCTTAACTCCTTATATAACGCTATCCTATAGGTTATAAGCTGTAATAAATCGAGGAGAAATGTTTTCGTGAGAACTGATTGAATAGTTTACATTTCAAGTTCACATTTCGCGGCTAATCGTAACCACCTGCCTAATGCATTAACAGAGCAAATAGGAAGAAAGAAAACGGGTTCCTCATTAAACATTTACCATTTTCCTGAGACCCGAGAATATTTCCTTTAGTTTCCGCTGGTATCTAAAGCAAAAATCTATTAGATCATCGGATCGATTCTTCAGCTATTCACTGCTTCTAGAACGCTAGATCACACGTTAGTTGACAGTTAGAGCCCCGGAAACATCCCTAGGATTCAGAATGGCTTTGGCGAAGGATTACGAAGAGTACCCGCCTGTTATTGATCTTCTAATTTAGTCACTTAAACGATCCAGTGAACAAGATGAATTTAACGCAGGTTGTTGGCGGAATGCTGGTTCATTCCGGCACTTAAACAACAGTTTCAATTGACCGAGAAGTTTACTTACAAACTGCGGTTGGTTAGATCACTGGGATCGGAACACAACTATGCTTTCATTGATCTACAAAATGGCAGCCAATATGAACTTAATATTCGCCGTTTCCATCTGCGTAATCTTTTGCTCGACTCTCTCGTACGCTGTTGAAACTCCGACCACTCTAGAAGGCAAGAAAGAAGATGAAATGGAGAACACGCACAAGACAGATAGCCTGAGCATGTTTATTCTAATAACCCTTTTGATCATCAACGTTCTCATGATCTGGCTGTTTAAGATTCGTAGATTTGAGTTCTTCCATGAAACCGGCGTAGCCATGATCCTTGGTGTTATCGTAGGAGCCATAATCAAGTACTCCGAGAACCACGGACACAGAAAACCTTTAGCTGTGAAATTAAAAAATTGCGGAAACATCACCATAGCCCCTAAAAACGTTTATGTCAGTATAAACGGTACGGAGTACTCATACACTCTAACTGGGATTCGCTTTCCGCCCAACACATCTCCATCAGACGAAGGCAGCGAAATAGAATCCAAGTCATCTTTTAACCCGGAAGTATTCTTCTACGTTCTTTTGCCTCCAATAATTTTCTATGCCGGGTATAGTTTTCAGAAACGTTATTTCTTCCGGAATTTGGGTGCCATTATGACTTACGCTTTCTTTGGCACCACTATTTCATGTATCGTTACTGGCTCGCTTGTCTTTGGTTTTAATATATGGACAGGCGTCACAGAAACTTTTGATTACGCAGAATGCTTGCTTTTTGGCGCCTTGATCTCTGCCACTGACCCGGTTACAGTGCTAGCGATTTTTCACGACCTTCACGCCGACCTAGACTTGTATGCTCTCGTTTTTGGGGAGAGCGTCCTAAACGACGCCGTAGCCATTGTTCTCTACAGGGCCATCGAAACGTACCTCGCTTACAACCAGAGCGACTTACGCGATTTCGATCTCTTCTCGTTTTTGAAGGCCATTGCAGATTTTGTGGCTATTTTTGTCGGTTCGTTCACCATAGGCTGCGGTATGTCATGCATAAATGCACTTGTTACAAAGCTCACAAAGATAGGAAGCTTTCCGATCTTGGAGACAGCTCTATTTTTCCTTATGTCTTATTGTACTTTCTTAGCAGCTGAGCTTTCAAATTGGTCCGGTATTGTAGCCGTTCTCTTCTGCGGAATAACACAACAGCACTACACGTACAGAAACCTCACCGAAGAATCGAGAATGCGTACGATGCAGACCTTCGAATTGTTAAACTTCTTGGCAGAGACCTTCATATTTTCGTACATAGGCTTGTCTGTTTTCGCCTTCACAAACCACCAGTGGAATGCGGGTTTCATCGGATGGTCGTTTTTAGCCATACAGGTTGGTCGCGCTCTCAATATTTATCCACTATCGCTGTTCCTGAATTTGGGCAGAACCCGAAAAATACCACTGAATGTTCAGCATATGATGTTCTTTTCTGGGTTACGTGGTGCAATTGCGTTTGCTTTAGCTGTCAGAAATACTGTGTCAATCCCTAGGCAGATGATGTTGACAACGACTCTGATAATAGTCATCGTGTCTGTGATTGTGTTTGGGGGTGTGGCATTGCCAGTACTCTCGTGTTTAAAGATTAAGACAGGTATCGACGTGATTGAGGAAGAAAAGCGTGCGCGCAGATTGAGCCTCATTGATGTCAACGACCCATCAGGAAGCACGCCACTAGAAAGAATTGAGAAGATGCAGTATGAAAAGTCTTGGTTAGTGAGAGTTTGGTCGCGCTTTGACGAGAAATACTTGACGCCTATTTTTGTTGAAGAGAGTCAATTGCAATCGTCACCATCAAGTCTGAATTAAGAGACTGTAATCTCTGCTTTGTCATTTGCTTTGAGAGAGGAAGAATTCCGTCTTACATTGCAGTAGAGCTTATATTCGCGGGTGTTACGAGGGTATATTCCTGAGAGCCAGGATTTGACCCCTGAAAACCAGGCGGGATTCGGGAAAGGTTAACAAGATACGGGATTTGACGGCTCCCTGGGAAGCGGGATGTGGAATTGGAAAAGATGATATTCGGGATAGAAATAACGGATGCTCGGGATCCGGGATCAGAACGCCCCATTCCACACCCTACAATTGGGGGAGTAAGGGTGCTTAAATTGTCCCGAATCAGATGTGGTTTTCTATGTTTGGTTCTCAGCCCTGCGGTCCTAGAAACCATCCCTCAGGTACTGCATGCGGTTTCTCTGTCTCATCAAAAACTCAAAACATCACTTCGAATTAAAATTTGTTCAGGATCACATGCACTCGTATTGAACGAGATTTATTATATAGATACTGATGAAATACCAGGATTTTTCCTTTTACTGAAAAATCATATCTTTTTCGCGCGCAGTGAAGATACTATTTTTATCTTTCACATGTAAGGATATTGGTGTCACCATGGTTACTAACATGATTAGCCAATTACAAGAGAGCTTTCCCGCTCAAGCGCGCGGCCGTTTCTTTACGAATTTAATTTTGTTATAAAATTTTTCTCTTCTTCATTAAAATTTTGACTTTTTGGAACAGAAAATGTCTTTATTTTTTCTTTATAACTTCATATCCGAGTTTTATAACATTTTTGTGAGAGGCATTTTGCGATAGGTGACCACTTTAATTGCACTATTTTGCTGTTTCGAAAATGAATAAAAAAAAGTTGTGTTTTATGTAGGAATTTCATCAGTATCTATAAAATAAACAGAACATTACATGGTCGTTTGGGGATATGAATTTTATCTTCGAGTGCTGAAAGTATCTCTCACGAGTGAGCGAAGCCAAAAGATGACATCATTTTTCTGATCATTGATAAAAAGACAGATGGCTGTGAGTTTAGGTTAGTTTAGGCTCTGAACTTTCAAATTCAATACGGTTCTAACGAAATTCCCCTCCAAAGATTTTTAAATTCAATATCGCGTGACGTCACTCCCTGATTTGCCAGGAAGCTCGTATGGCCTGAACATTTGGCAAAGTTGCCAATATTTTTTTTCTTGCCATCCTTTTTTCATTTGAAGAAGAAATAAAAAGGCAATAATGCTAAACTTTCTAGCAAATAGGGCTACAACTCAAATTTCAAGTTCGACGGAATGACGACGTGCATGATTGATGATTCAAAATGGCAGCTCTCTATCCCCCCATTTAACAATTTTTGGGGTGGGGGTGGGGACATTTCAGGTGGACTAAAGGTCAGCAAAGAACTTTCGGTAGCCAATATTTCTACTGATAATAAGAGCTTCACTTAAACTTATATCATCACCTACTAAACGACATTCATATAAACGTGCGGACATCTCAGAAAACAGTGAGGTTTGCGGGAAAAGAAAGCTGAATATTTGACAATTATTCCTCGAGCCCGAATGGGCTGGGCTATTGACTCAGAGGCCATGAGGGCGAGAGGAATGATTGTTTTAGTAAAATCCAACTAGTTGGTCAAAAATATCGAGAATAAAAAACTTTTAGCTAGTTAAAGCTAGACTTTAATCCTTTTTTGCCGCCAAAAAGCCGGCGCTTTTCGCTACTAGTGGGCTATAACATATAGCCTAGTAGTAGCTCAACCAATCAGAACGCAGCATTGATAATAGACCACTAGTTGGATTTTATTAAAATATAGTAGTCTGAGTATTCTCACGGGCTATAAATGAAAACTGAGAGATGATGGGCTTCATGCTAACTATTAACAAATGAATGAAAAACAACTCTGCGCATGGTGAACAAAATACATTTATTGAATTGTACAGCTGGTTATTAAGGAATTTTAAGCCATGTTCACACAATACCGGATAGCTTTTGAGCCGCCATGAAAATCATACTGGACAGGGCTTCTGTTCACATACAAGAACGGTTGTAGAAGCGCAATTTCTGTGACGGCGAGCGAAGCTGCGTCTCGCAGATCTCGAAAGTGGAGCATCACATATCGGATAGTTTTTTTTGCCGTTCTTTGGTGCAGTGTGAACACCTGATCGACCCTTCGCGGAAGTAAATAAGTAGGATCGAGGACTGGAACCCACTGAGACGGAAGTAAATTTGCAGGAGTAAGGACTGAATTTTTATGCACCAATCCCTCTCGGCCAACCGCGCCGACGTTATGGCTGCTGTTCGTTCTATACCGAATAGCTTTTCGTGGCGCACGAAAAGCTGAAAAGCTATCCCGGGTATAGTGCAAATATAGCCTTATTTTACCTTCACTTCTCTTCTTAAATTATATTTTCAATCATTCATTCCAAGGCCGGAATATATCGTTTGGTAAGATTTTGAGGCCACGTGGTCATACAGCGTACGTATTCCGGTTGCATATCTTAGTTAACAGCAAATTTAAGCTGGCGCAATCATCTTCAATGTATGAATGTATCGGTAAAACTAAGTAAGAAATCATCCAGATTAGCCACTAGATTGCGGCATTTGTCGATAAACAACTTCAAACGTTCAGAGCTTGTAGTCTTTAAAATCTATCATGAAATAACAGAGTAATTGTTAGGTTCTGAGCTATTTTTCCTGTAGCTGCGATTATTCATTTCAAATGCCGCATTACTCTTAGCATTGCACGGAACTTCAAGATTACGTCGTCGAAATTTAAACCAGAGCTTGAGAAAGAGGACGAAAAAGATGGTGGCCGCTAACAAATGTACCACGCAAAAAAATATTAAAAGTGTGACAGTACTTGAATTGTTTGAAATATTGTTGCCTTTGGGTGGGGAATTGGCCTTGCTGCCTTGCGTACATGTTGCTAAATCTCGCTCAAGAGTTCTTAGTTTGTGTTGAAAGGTCACGCAGTCACCAGTCAAATTTTTGCTATTGGTTATGCACTGAAAATCTTTCACGGCTGCGCAGTAATGCGTTGAGAAGAACACGTCATCTGGCGCGCTTTTGAATCCAGTGTTTAAGCGGATGATTCTTCCAAGCGTCAAGGAATTCACTTTGTCGATTTCCTGTTAACGAGAACCAAAAGCCGGATATGAGACAGTAATTCGGCAAAGAGCACTAGCTCACCATTTCATCCTATCAACAACACTTTATTCGTCAGTTTTCTGAGCCGCTGAGTTAAGAACTGAGAAGAAGATAGTCCGGGGCGGGGGGGCACTTGGGTATTTTGTGGGTGGGTATGTGCCGCCCGGGACTCCAAATTGGCACCCCGTTCTAAAAAAAAATTCCCCTAAAACTGATACCCGTTCTAGAATTCTCCCTAAAACTGATACCCCCTTCTAGAAATGGGCCAATTTTTTATACTCCGTTCTAGGGTGCAACAAGAGTATAACAGCTTGCTTGTTAACGCATTGAACCGTATTTTTAAAAGCAATCTATCCTTGAATAATTTCAAATGGCTGCCTACAAGACTGGAGCTTTCATGCGTTCGAAATATTATACCCCGTTCTAGAAAACGCCTCTGAAATGGATACCCCGTTCTAAACCAGGAGCCTCAAAATCACGACCTTGTTGGGCGGCACATACCGGTATAGGTAATGTATGGGAGTGCCCCCCCGGGAAGATAGTAGGCAAGCACCTCGCGGGAGGGGAAGGGAAGGGGAATTACTCCCTATGATGGCCTATACAAGTGGCCCACCAAACGAAACTACCCTTTTCTAGCCTGCGTAGCAAGCGTTTCCTGGCGAGGTTCGTCTAGAAAGCTGGGACAAGAGCAAAAAAAAATTAATGACGGGAGAGGGGGAGGGGAACGAAGGAACCGCTTGCCCGCAAACCCCACGATTTTGAAAAACTGCGTTCGCCCACGAACGCAGCTTCTGATTGGCGCGGTGCGGGTAGTGTTGATTACTTAGCATTCGAAACATCAATCAAAGCAGGTATGCTTTGTTTTCGTGCGTCACAGATCTGGTCTCATCTGATTTGTGGTCGCAGATTACAAATACTTTGGACTGATATTTATTTGAATCGTGTTTGTGCGAAGGTTTATGAGATCAGTCTTCAGAGTATGATTGGAGATCGAGCAGTGGAGACTAGGGAAGGCCAGTTTATTGAGTATGACAGCGTGCGGATCTGACTGGAAAAAAATGGACTGTTTGTTGGAGATAACATCAACATAAATCAGAGCATCGGTACTCGACACTAGCTAAAGCCGCCATGGACAAGCGATTTGTCAGCTTTTAAAACTTATCCCCGGAGTTTGTTCCGGAGGCTTTCAGACGAGATTTATAAAAAAAAGGTATTCCGAGATTTCAACCTTCTTTTATCGAAATCTTTTTATTACAGTTCTTGTAATCGTTTGTTCTAGGATATGAAAATGGGTGGATGTTTCATTTTGACTTATTTAGAACCGAACCGTGTATCAAGGTTTTTTTATTTTAAAAAAATAACTCTTGGAAACAAAACCCTTTTCAGACGATCATTACGTTGAATTTTTATGTTCCTCTAGCCTTCCTGGCAAGCGTTGGAAAGGGTAGGATAGGGGAATTTGGGCCCAAGACCGCCGCGAGTGAAGGAGAAGAGAGGAACCCCTCGCGCTTCTCACACGCCCGGAAAAGCCTTTCACCTCCATTTTGAATGTCTGTCACGCATGCTATATATATTTTGATCCTTGTTTTGAGTTGAATTTTGATGTTCTTTCGAAGCGTCTTTTAATAAAACGTTATTCCATTGGGGTTGATCTAAGAAAATGAATGCAGTAGCCGTGAGAGCGGTGTACCATTTTATAATGAAAGCTGAACCGGTATCTTTTCCTTCAAAAGTGGTATTTACAACTAAGGAGAATAGAGTTGAAGATGGAATGGACCCCCCAGGAAAAAAAACGCTCGCTGTATTTATAAAAACATGAGTGGGCAGTGTTGTGTGTAGTATGCCTGGTTGGATTTGAGAGAAGCGGGATTGGGAAAGAAGGGGAAAATGGAGCGGGGATTGGGGACAGAAGGCATCCATTTTTCTGCGCCTGCCACATCACAGGCAGCCCAAGCTCGAAATATGAGCATCGGCGAACATCGGCATTGTTGCGTAACGTTCGAAATATAAGGATTTGTATGGGGAAAAAAACCTATCGTTTCTGTAACCTGCGAAAATGAAAGGATTTCAATAAAAAGCAGCTTACCTTACTTGAGATGTGTTACGTCTCTCCTGTGTGGTCCACGGGCCGATTTATGGCCGTTGTTTGGATTTTTATGTTAACGGTTTTCTCTCTATCAAGACTATTAAGAGAAAAACCGTTTACATAAAAACCCATAAATCGGCCCTTGGACCACACAGGAGAGACGTAACACACAATGAAATCCTTTCATTTTCGTAGGTTACAGAAACGATAGGTTTTTTTCCCATACAAATACTTATATTTCGAATATTACGCAACAATGCCGATGTTCGCCAATGCTCATATTTCCAGCTTGGGCTACCTGTGGCCACATAGGCTATGTTAATTATGTTGCAAGAGCGTACGTTGGAGAGAGATTAAAAGAGATTAAGAATCGCGTTTATGGCAAACGGCAAACGTAAATTTGTTCACATTACCAAGTTTTCCATTTACTTATCGTTTACTGTTCATTAAAACTACACGAAAATCGGTGGATTCGCGCCAATTCTATCCATAATAATTATCGTTTTAAGCTGTTTTTATCTGCTCATTCCTCATTTTGAAAATTTTTCAACTTGAATCTCACGTTCACCGTTTGCCGTAAACGCGATGCTTAATCTCTCTAGTATCAGAGGCCTAGGATCTATAAAATAATTGTCAGCTTTCTTGGAAAGAAATATAGACTGGTTACAATTACCTCTTTCGACAAATATCGTTCATACCAGAACCTATCTCCGTCTCTAATCCTTAAAAAGTTGCGCATCACAATTCTGCAAGAAAAGAGACAAACTGTTTGACAAACATATATTAAACAATTTAAAAGTCAACTTTCCAAGTAGCCATTTAGCCATTTAGCTAAGTAGCCAGCCACTTAACCTTAAAAATAGGGATACCGAACGACGCAGGAAAAACAAGTCCACCCTTCTGATGATTCGATCCCTTCTAGCGCAAGGCTCTCTCGTTGTTTTTACCAGTAAAGTATGCGTAATCTTATTAGTGTTGTATATTGTTAGTTAAAGTTATTAAGACGTTTGACTCACGTCCTGAATGTGGGTCCCAGTTCACTGCCTTCTTCGTGGTCCTCCGCCAAGCCTCCTACCCACAGGTCGATGTTATTCTTGTCCTGATAAAGGTCCTTTATCTTATAGGCAACTTCTTCATTTTTTGTAACATCTGTGAAACTGTTTATTCCTTAAGAAAAGGTTTAAAATAATAATAATAATAATAATAATAATAATAATAATAATAAAAACTAACTATGCTTTTACCCGAAGCTTCAGTTTGGCTGAAGTTAAAAATTCTGCTCCTGACTCGGAATATTTTCCAACGATGGTGGCGAAAAGTCAGACTTCATCTTTCTTGACTGCCTCGTATCTAAGTGTATCTTTAGATTTTCGACGGCGGTCGCGGCGCAAGGATCATGGGAAAGCTTGAAAAACGCAAAGGGTCAACGTTTTTCGTCCTTCCCATGTCCCATTGCACCGCGACTAATCTCGTACCTAAGACAATTTCAAGGAATAAGCTTCACCTCACCCCAAAACTGATAGTGCCCGGACATAATTTGTTCCTTCGGAAACAGCCGAGGTCCGATGTTTCTCAATCTATCGTAAAAACATCTTCCCGTCTTTGCAGTTTCATCAACTTTAACTGGCCAACTGAAGTGATTGTTTGATTTTTTTTCGTTGAATTAATACTCAACAAGTAAGAACATTATATTGACTCACCAACCTTTTAACCCAATAGCCTTTCTCACGGAGTTGTAGTCTGGCAAGCCATGTTCCCTTCCACGCTGAATATTCATGGCTGCTAGATCCAAACCAAGTCCAGGAGCACGACCAGAAGGAAACAAGACATTTCTCATGTCATCTGCCATCTAAAGATTCCCATCGCAAAATATATAAAAAGAATAAATTAAGCCTAGTGAAAATGAGAGTGCCCAGAAGAGAGCATTATTGTCATAAACGCCCCTTTTCTTGCAACTTACACAGTTTTAATCACACTATCATTGTTTCAGGCGAGAAATTATCGCAGGGTTAACGTGAAGACATGAGAATTAAGACATGAGAATTGCCTTACTTAATCAAAAACTTTTAACTAATTAATGGAAAAAAAAACTTTGAAGCAAACGTGTTGCTTCAAAGAAAGAAAGAAGAAACTAAATTGGCCTCCATAAAGTTATATTCAAGGTTAGCTCTAAAGAAAATTTTACGTAACATGCTGTGAGAATATCAGTCGGTTGTTGGCTTCCCCCGTCCCACTGAGCCCACGGAAGGGACAAAAATCCGATCGCCTTGAAAAGATCTCCTTGCCTACCTTCAAATCAATTTCCTGTGCCGCTTGTCTTACTGCACCTCTAAAGAGAGGGTCTATACCGCCCTCCCTCTTCACTCTTTCAGGGCTAAAGTAAGCATCTCTCATGGGGAGGTGTCCATAGGGAGATATCGTACCATTCTCTTCGTATCTCCACAAGTGAGTGTTCACTTGACTGTGACCAAATCTAAAATGCAACAAATAACCTTAAGGCCTGTTTACATGGAGTTGGGGGACACCAGGTAGGTGAGGTAACACGCTTTGGTGGGTAACCCGCCTGTCCACATAATCTCTCATTTTAATTTGATCACGTTTGTATGATAGGTGGGGTAGCCCGCCGCACGTTACCTCACCTAACTCGGGTCCCCCACTTCCATGTAAACAGGCCCTTAGGTTATTAATAGTTGTCATAGTTCATAGGCGCATCAGGTCAACGAAATTCTTTGCGGTACGGTTTGACAAATCACTTTACTTGCGAGATTTTTGCTTCCCTATTTTCACTACAAATGAAAACAATGGACTCTGTCACACCAAATGGTTGAAGGTTAAATACTATGAAGAAAAAAAGACAGGGAGACCCAAGACATACTGTGGAACCTCCATATAACGAAAGGCCAAGGACTGGAAAAATGTGCTCGCTGTAACAAGGTTTCGTTATATCGAGGTTCTTTTCCATATATTTTACTATCACTGGGGTTGAAAAATTGTTCATTATACCGATGACTTCGTTGTATGGGGGTTAGTTATATCGAGGTTTGCACTGTTTTTACCTAGTGAGGATAGCGACCAGATTCGTTTACGTTAACATTTACCCATTTCCACCTTATTGCAACAGAAAAATTGGACTCCTAAAAATCAAAATGGCCGGATCCTTCATCATTCGAGGTCCTGCGTACCCTAGTAGTAGGTGCTGTTTCTTTACTTAACTTTGCATGACAAAAGCAGGCTGGTGAGAAATGCTTTAATAATGTAGACAGTCTTCTCTTTACAAAAGCCTAGCTGAAAGTCTTCGGGAGTTCCGCACAATCTGCACCACGTGTAACTCACCTAAATGCAGCTGTAGCCATGATGTTACTCATTCCAGCGTCCACGCTCCTATTGTACCCCTGATAAGAAGGAATGTGTTTGGTGCCACCCAGCAACGACGGCAAGTACTCCCGGAACGTGATTGCCTGGAGCTCAGCTGCTACCAGGCGACGCGCAGCCTGAAATAATTGTTCATCGGTAGCCTAAAAATTCAAAAAAATCATCCCAGTTTAGCAAAGACTAATACAAACCAACCATTCTTTTACAACTACTTTTTCTTCTTGTTACCGAAATAACGAGTTTCTTTACTGCGCTGACTGAAAAATTGATTGACTTACTGTCCGCGTGACTAACCGATTGCCTGACTGACTGACCAACTGGCTACATGATCGACTGTCTGAAGTTTGCCTGGCACAACTGACAGACAGACGGACTGACAGACTGACCAGCGGAATTTTAAACTAAATAACTGAAGGCTGGGATCCATGGATTTTTGGATCTTTCGCCTGATAAAAGAATTAACGGAAAGCTATTTTTGTCTGGTAGCAGAGTTGATGCCTGGAACTAACCATTGGATATTTACGCTTGTATTCATCACAGAGACGGTTGTGTTCGCGTACGAAAAGCGTGTGAAGCGCAATCAATCCTGGCTGAACATTCGCGCGAGAATCTCCAGCAGCCAGCAGACTGTCTGGATCACGACCCACGGGATTATCATTTGCAACAGCCATAGTGTTGTCCTGTTACAGGAGGCAAAAGCAGAATAAAATAAGTTAATGACTCTGTTAGTTAGCCTTGCTCTTTCAATTTTTTTTTTTTTTTTTCAATTTATATTATTAAGCCTCTTAAACTGCGTAACAGAACTACATTGGCTGACATTAAAAAGGGAGTATGAAGCAGTTTTCATTTTCATCCCTGATCTCCCTCGTCTTTTCAGAATATAAGTGAGAGCTGTCTCATGTGAAGGCTAGAATCTCTACAGTGCGACATCCTCAGTGACCAAAACAAGCAGTGTTGCATCCGATATCCAAGCACCGAGAAATGGCTGCTAAAAGGGGGCGTAGCCGAGATGGTTTCCAGGTATCTGTATATCGGATGAAACACTATATGAGGTGTTTGATGCAGTTCCTCACAAGTGATCGAATAATAATTATTGAAGAATAAAAATTCAAAGCTTAAGTTCACAAAATTTATTATATGTTTTCTTGTAATTAAGACCCAATATCCAAACACCCGTCAGGATAGTGCAATACTTTGTTTTCTCTTCACGAATAACAAAAATAAGCGTGAAATTTTTTTCTATTAAAAAATTGCTGGGTTACTCACCGGTATGAGGTCACCTGGTCCAACTTTCATTTTTCCATCTTTAAATTCTCTTAACGCCCTGTTTCTTTCTTCCGATTCACCGTACACGACAGAACCATCGATATACGAAGTTATTTTGTTCACTTGTTGCCTTGGGGTGTCGGTACTTCTGCCCGTGCATCTAATAAAAAAAGTAGGTGATTGGTTTTTGCGCGGGATGGTACATGTATCTACGACGAATAAGCTATTAATTCAGTCAATACAGTGTATGCATGTGAGTTGTTGACCGCCTAATCTGAACAGCTCTTATCCAGCTACCCATATATAAGTGATATAGAAATCCTAAACTAGAGTAAATTAATATTTCAGCGTGGAACATGTGCAGGGGAATTAAGGTTTTTACATGAAATGGGGCGTTCAACTGAGCGTAGTAATGCCCTACTGTGGGAATATAACTATAATCAGCTCAAGTAATCGCTTGCTCCGGAAATAATTTCCCCCTGACTTGGACATCCTTGGATAATATGAAACATTATGATTTCAACGGGCCACACAGTTTTGATGGAGGTGGATTTTACAGCCGTACTCACCTTCTGGCGCCTAGAGACATGACCAGACGTCAAGCATTACCCCGTGCCGAAATAGATCGATCGAGATAAAAGTACGTAATTGGCCATTTCCGAGTTCCAAAAATTCTCAGTTTCAAAACGAGGCTTATTGGAAAACCCTTCTTGCGAAAATGAGTTTTGTTTGCATGAGAATAAAAAAAATTTTCATATAAATAGCTCTTCACTTAGCCTCGCTTTGAAACAGAGGCTTAAGGCAAACGGGAAATGACAAATTTTGAGAGAAAAAAACTGGCAGTTCCTTTACGGCGCTAATGTAAAATAGTTAACTTCAGTACCCAGACCTGTTATAAGTGGAACGCACAAAAGGAAGGTAAATGTTGCCTTTGTTTAGTGGATCAAATTGAACATCGCCCTGCAACGAAACAGAAAGACGTTAGAAAAAGTCATTTTCTACTGCAGTTGCCCATCATAAGCGCTTCTCGGACACTTGGTTTTGTGGTCGATAACCTGACAACAATCTCAATCTTTCTTTAAAAACGACCAGTCATCCTGCTCATCTGAGAATAAATAACCACTCATTTCTCGAGTAAAAGTAAGCTCAAATAAAATCGCATTGGCGGATATGCTGCGCAGTGTAGTATCGAGATCACTTTACGATTAGAGTCTGGGCAGTTCCCCCAGGGTCTCGATCCAGGCATAGGCGAAATTATTAATTGAGGTTTCACCATTTTTTGAGATTCTGTCATTTTATAAACTTTAAAGTAAATAAAAGTACTGAGTTGCGTTGAGGATGTAAAACCGTTTTATTGGTACCCCTAAGCAGAAAGGGGACACTCCATAAGTTTGCCAATTATTAAATCACCCCATAAGTAAGCAACCTGCAAACACAGCCGTATTTCCGGTCGTCACCTCTCTCCACTTTTCGGGTGGAGAGAAACGACGACCAGAAGTACTTGTGTGTTCGCAGCCTTATAAGTAAGTCGCATTAAAAAGAAAATTACGCAAAAGGTATCACTTCTGCTGAATGGGTTACTACGTAAATACTCTAAACATCAATTACAAACGGATACTCCGCTGATTATTATGGTCCTTACAGAGGCAACACATAATATTCAAGTCTTACCTTCGGTACTTCAATTGGTAGCCAAACGTCGCTTACGACGCCTTGAAATTCATATCGAGGAAGCGGACTGGAAAAATCTGTGTCGTGAGCCAGGAACTGTAAAACATTAAAAAATGATACTTAGTGTCATTGTTTGAAGTCTTTTCAAGTTGGAATTACGACTTCTTCAGCTGGTGGTGAATTGAGGCTAGGCCATAACGGACTTCCGCTATGAAAAACCGGACGATCGCAAAAAGTTGACTTCCCGTAACTGAGCATGGTTATTTCCAACGAAATCGAAGTCGCGACATTGCGACTTTTCGAGTACATTGCGATTTCAATTGAGTTTTACAATGTTAGTCGTACAATGACGGTAAAAGAACCTGCCAAAAAGTGTGCTGCATGTTCGGAGGGTTTGTTTTGCTTATTTTCCCCATATTATTGTAGTCTGATGGACGTCTCTCTCTCCCGTACCCCCTACAGGTTAGGGAGCGAAGACCGTCTGGAATTTCAGACTACCCATCTTTCCGTTGTCGTTGCGGTTGCGCTGAGCTTTCTAGTATAGCGTTACCTAGCCTCCCACGCAGATGTTATTAGAGGTTCGTCACGGGTTCCTTGCCCGGAATGCGTGACGAACCCCTCAAAACGTGTGCGTGGGAGGCTAAGCGTTACCCAGCCGAAAAAGACGACAGATCCAAATGATAAACAAACTGGCGAACTGTAGACGGATATATAAATTAGGGAACTTAGTACCTGACCAAAGTGCGAATGTAAATCACTGAGTCGGCGAGAGCTAATCTTGGATTCGATCTGTAATAATACACAAGGCATAAGTGAAGGCTTTAAAGTGGTACAAAGGATTACAAGAGAAGGGATAAAGGGCAAACTTGTCTTAAATACTCAATCATGTTATAGGCACTATACGTCCGTCATATTAAAAACAAATTACAATTCCTTTGCACCTGACGAAAGAGCTCGTTGCTGATATTCCTTGGCGAGGGCCTGTTAGACCCAAATCCATTCACCGCGTCAAGAAATCTACAATGGCCAGTTTGCCGCTGGTCAGGAGTACAGGTGCCCGCGGGCATAGCGATACCGTCAGCGTACATGGCAGGTAATTCACGTGCTACATTCTCCATCGCAGCGCCCCACCACACGTGATCTTGGTTGTAGGAGATTCCATCCAAACGTCTGTCAAACAAATAAGTAAGTATTCATAATCAGTACGCGACACAGCCATTCCATGCCTACGCTTATGAGGTCTGAATGTTTATTTGTTGTCTGGGTTTCTTGCTTGAATTTATATCTTGGGAATAGGTAAGGTCGCAGTAGGTACCAATGATCAAAGAGCTTGAGGTCTCTGCCGGCTACGAGGTTGTCGCCGCAGGTTTTGCGCATTCTTTCAAATGAAAAAGAGACCATCTTATTTTTGTTACAAAGAAAATCATCTTAAAGGATAGGAGCACATTTCTGTCAATAAACAGCACAACAGTGATATAAGTAGTATACGGTGCACCGGTTGCTCCTTTATTGCGGATGAATATCATAAATTGCGGAGGAATACACTCACGCCAATGACGTCATAGCCTATGTAGTCATGGGGGGAAACAATAGAAATGTGGGCAGCAAACAAGGAGGAAGGGTGAGCTAGAGCCGGTTAGTTTGTTCTCTTCCTCATTAATATGTACGTTTTGCGCTTAAGAAAACAGGGAATACCAACATGAATCAAACAATAAATACTTTACTTACTTTTTGGTTGACTAATCAAAAAGCAAAACATTCATTGGCCTAGAAATAACTAGAAACCTGTCAAACGGGTTTAAAGACCAAAAAATAACACGAACTTAACTTACTTAGATTCCTCCGCATCTAATTCATGAAATAAAGAACAAAGGCTATGACGTCATCGGCGTTAATGTAATCCTCGCCAAGAAAAGGAGCAACCGATGCACCCTATACTACTAGGACTCCGTTAAAATGGGACTGGAAAAATTTTGAACGGACTAGTTTTTTCCCTGTGCAACCCGTTTTCACGGAATAATTGTGCATTTCTATTACAGATTGCAGTTAACACTAAACTTACACGGTTCCGCGGGTACCGTGTAAACAAAAGGAGGATCCGTGCGAATTTTTGTCCGTTGAAAAATTTGTCCGCACCATTGTAAACGGGGTTTAAGGCTTTGTTCACACGACACCGTTGAATTCAGGATAGCTCTTGCGCAGGCACAACTTCTGTCATCTGTCCCGCGCCGATCTCAAAAGTGGTGCGTCACATATCAATTAATTTCAAAATTACACATATTGGTTGAAAAGCGAAGTTTAAAGATTACAAATAACATGCAAAAAGTGAAATGCATTGGATAAGATGATGGTAAGATCCACCCCACGACAAAGAGGAGTAATATCTGATAAGAAATTTACTTCTCAATCACAGGAACGATTGGGTGAGCAAATCACAGTTAGTTTTGGTCTTTTAACGCATTGCTTAAAAAGGTGGCGGGGTATTTTTCATCTATTCAGAAAGGGCGTGGGCTGCAAAACTAACGTTATTTAACCGAGCGCTAAGCAGAAAGCAAGCTAAGTACGGTGAGAAAAGTAATAATTGGTAGCAGCAAGGATGGCACAGACAGCTAGTATGCAGAAGGTCTCTAATTTGATCCCCAGTTACATCATATCTTGGTTTCGACTTCTCTCCTTTCTATACAGCTTCAAGTAGCTTTGAATCAACACTTAAAACAAAGCACTGGTGGAGAGAGGGAGATAAAATGAGCGCACCGTCGATCTCAAGTTTATCAATTGAATTACTGTACGCCACGAGTTATCGACACAATATATGGCGACCTTTGTTACCTTTACTAGTGCAGAAACAATGGAATCACGAGCACTGGACTGGATCGAGAGCCCTCAAACCATGGCAATGGCCACGGGATCGCTGCTCCGAAAATCATCAGTGGAACACTCCCTAGATTAAGTTTTAAAATGTCGTAACATTAAAGTTTACCTTTCGTCTGTGACGCTGGGTGCTGGTCCTAACCTTCTGCCTCCCATGCATTCACTTGAAGCGTGACTTCCGTTTCGGTAGTGCGTGAACGTGACAAGACACATTGCAGTCGATATCATTGACTGATTATTTGGACTAGGTTCCAGGCTCACAGAGTAGGTGAAGACCTCAGTGCCGAGCTCAGCTGGGTTTACACCGGGATTTAATTGAAACTGAACTGTCTTGCCGTCAGGATTGATTGTGGCAGTTGAATGTGCAGGCTGAGATATAATAATAGCAACAAATCGCGTGGAACATAGTTAGGCTTGGCTGAATTTGCCTTTTATTTTGTTAACTTTGGGCAACCTTAGAGTGAAACGTCTATACTGTAATAACACAGCGAACCACACGTTCAAGCGGTTACTGAACAGACATTTTAATCTCTATCAAGTGCCTCGAAGGTACAAACGAAACTGAATATATAATGAGTCTAGCAGCACGTGCAAATGAAATTCAACACAGGGCGTGAAAATTACAATATTATAACACCCTCGCAATATCGCTCATTTTGAGGATAAATTTTCACCGATCTACCTGCCTACCGGTCTTCAAACCTGCCAACCTTAGTCGATCCCCAGATGACTTTCTTTAGCCACCCTGCTTACCTGCCTAGCTACCTACCTACTTTTCTAGCTACCTACCTACCTGCCTGCCTGCCTGCATGCCCACCCATCTATCTATACCTCACTGCCAACTGACAAACAAAAGGGTGATTTACCTGTTTAACAATTCCTGTAAGTCTTAAGGAAAAACACTTGTCAAGGGAAGAATAAGAAAGGGTCTTCCCTGAATGATCCCTCCTACAAGCAAAAATTAGTGAAACAACAGTTGGTAGAATGCTCGGCAAGGAGAGTTCCTGACTTTTAATCGCCATGTAGGCTCTACCCTTAAAAACTTCTAGGTGCGTTGCGTGAAACATCAGTGTCATTTTTAGTCAAATTTCACGCCTTTCACTCAACTTTTGATGAAAGAAACGCTTTATGGTATTACATGAAAGAAAAGGCTTAATCTCAGAAAATTGCGAACCTTTTAATTAACCAGTGTTTAACAAAACCGCGTTCTAAGTCATTTTCAGTTTGCCCAACGCTTTTATCTAAATACCATTTTCTGTGAACAGTTTTACGAAAACCCCGGTGGTAAAGTGTAGACAACAAAAGAATTTAGCTTCTTAAATTAACCCACTAAGGAAGAGATCTGAAGGTCCAGAGATTCTTAAACCGCGTTCTAAGTTAGACTTCGTTTAATAAATAACCGACCGATATGAAATCTAACTTTAGATCCTCTTGAGACCCAACTACAGCTCAAGCTAGAAGCTGGTGTTTCGCTTCCGTCTGAAAGATAAATTGAAATGGATTCATCTAATCAATAATTGGATACCTGCTCGGAAGTATGGCTCGTAGTCTTGTGTTTGGAGGCACGTCAACATACGTCACTTCCATGGGAATAGAAGGCCACCTGACTTTAACAGTGACATTACCACTGCGCATGCTTGGCCCTAGTCCAAAGTGAGCAGCTAAAGAACTTTGACCTAAGAAGTGTGTGCTGGAACCAATTTCTTGCGTCTATAATATAAAAAGGTGTATCCTTTTATAATCGTGCTGTGGCAATGCTAAAAAATACACTTCCTGAACAGTTATCCTGCAATTAATTGTGTAAAGTCTGTAAGAAACAGACATAATTTAAACTTGAATTATCATAAGGTTTCGTCAGTAAACTTGTGGAGGTGACTTGTAACTTGTATGATCAGTCTGGTCTAGATCGCTAGAGGGTACTAGTATCTAGGACCCTCCCGTACTCCTCTAGTGAACCATCCACGCAGGCTGTCAGTCCAAAATCCATGCCTCGTCGAAGTCAAGATTGTGCTCTTAGGAACACTACTGTAAATTGTACAAAGCCGACAGTCACACAGAATAATGCACACACTACGAGTGCGGTAGGATGTTTCGGTGTAGACCGACACGACTTCGGCCGGCCGAAGCCACGAGCGCGCAAGTTAACTTAAGCAGCAGGCTTTTGAACGCGTCGTTAAGGTAGTGAAAAGAGTCCTTCCTCTAATGAGTTGAGGGATATAAACACCTATGGACATTTGAATGTTCAAATGGTCTTTTGATTTGTTTATAATAAAAGCAATTTTACTACCCGTCAACAAAATCTCTAGTAGTGGATTCGGTGATTTATGATGTTCACTGGCAGGCTGGGAATATAGCCTGCGAGAAAGCCTTCTCTTTGGCGGAAATACGTATTTTGACTGCTTTGAGTGAAGAAATTAATCCAGACTACTGAGATCACCTGTGTATGATTGCTCTCCGATATAACTTGTACCCGAGCTCCAAGACTGTCACATAACTTATCATGGTTACCGGAGCACCTAAAGACAACGTAAAAAATCTGTCATCATTTATCTTTCAAAAGACGATAAGATCGTCTACCCTGAGGTCCTGCGAATCTAGATATATTTTGACGTTCAATGCTGTTGGCATTTACCTATGCATCACACGTATTCGAATCCAATTGTTTGGCTCCATCTGCAGGTTCTGATAAAAAAATGGCTCTCCAAAGTTGTTACACACTATTATATCCTCATCCCCATCGTCTAAAGACAAAATAACAACAACAAAAAATCAGTCTAACTTATGCAATTCTCTGCTATGTCACTGCGTTCCGCCGCAGAGAAAACGTTTAAGTTCTAATCAGCAGAAAGGCAACAACACGTTGAAATAGGAAGGACACGACCAGTTGTGTTTATTGGGGAACGAGAAAAAGCTAACGTACAAGAAATAAAGTAGTGGCGGAGAAAAACGAATTACATCACTGTAAACTACGAGACTAAACGTAAACAGCATACTAGAAAAATTGAGCTCGGCAAGGTGCGAGCGGTAAAACCGGCTATGTCGAGTGACTAACGCGAGAGGCGACAAGGCTTAAATACCGAGATGTGACGTAAAATCCCTAGAGGATCAAACTGCGGCCATAAATGCAAATTCCGAACATAAACACATTTATAGTAAGAAGGCAATCCTTGATCATTTCTCACCATCATAGTCCCACTTCAGCAGACCACGACCTTGTCCAGTCCCATTTAATCCGTACACGGAAGACACCTTTAGGACAAAAAGGACAAAAAAGGCAAACTCAATTCACTCGGATCATGAATACATAATAACAACGAAATTTGTATATACTCTTAATTGGAGGCTACTTACGGATTTTCGTTACTTTCTTACACCACTTAGTGAAAAAAGGATTGTGAGTGGTTTATTCTCCTGCGTTTGCCTCCGACCCCGAAATTTAGTTTTCACTGGATCGTCAGCTACGGAGTGGTAAGAGGGAATCTTTAAACACGGTGTTCGCCAAGAAAACGGCCTTCCAGGAATTTTGGGGAACAAGAAATATGACTATTCACTTCTAGGGAACAAGGGATATTTTATGATAAATTCTCTAAAAAAGGGAAATTTTGAGTTATTCAGGAAACAGCAACAATGATTTTCTGGCTTGGAAATTCTGTTCGCATAGCTTTATTGTCAGACCATCATCAGGCAACTTTATTGCTGTTTCTCTAACCTATCGACTGGTTCAAGGTTGAGAGTTGACTGAAGCCTGGGGCTGTCTTGCATTTTTTTCAAAATAACTGGTGATAAATTTTTCGAAGGGTAGTTTTCAGTAAAAAAGAGGTAGTAGTTCTAGGCGCACAGCCGAGGAGGGGCTGCCATAGGAGGGGGTGCTCAAGTTAAAATGCTTGGAAAGTTCACCTTTAACAAGTTAACATGTTCCGCGAGTTTTGCCTTCAACTCGTGTAACAAAATCAAGTGTACATTACCTCCTGTGTTTTTCCGTTATGACCAGCACCAAGGTTTTTCCATAAGTGAAGTGTGTTTGCTCGGAAATAATCATCCGTGGTTGTTGTTGGAAAATCAATTCCTTAAAAAGAAAGATTTGTCAAAAATTAACGCTACAGAAAGATACGAAAGTTATATGGTGGTGTCGATACATTTTTACCACTTAAAATCAAACCTTAGTTTTAAGCACTCTTTTCATTTTTAAATATTCAAGTAGCAAGAAACCACTTACAACTATACAAAAAAGGAAGCAATTAAAATGCAAAATGTCTCTGCCGTTTACTATACAAAAATGACTCCGCCAAAAATACTTCCATGCCTTTATTTCAAAACGCATAACGTTCTAAGATACGCTAATCGGCTTTAGAGCCTCTACGTGAATCGACTGATGAAGTAGAAATAGCGTTTTCCTTCTTCTCCTTTATTTTTCCTTTTTCTTTTTATGTGTGCATTTGTGTTACAGTTTCCTTGCTGACCTGTAATTTAATTCTATTTAATGCTGATGTCAACTGGCTGCCTGGCTCCGCTAGCCCCCATGGTTATTCCAGGAAGGCAGTATTCTAGTTTTTACTTTTAAGATTTTTATTGCCATAATTTATTTTTGAGCAAGAGTGAGTACAAATAAAGATTGTTGTCGTTGTTGTTGTTGTTAATCGTATCAATTACCGCTGGTCATGATGAAATCCAAGAATCCGTTGTTATCGAAATCCACAAACGCCGCTCCCCATCCCCACCCACCATTGACCACACCCGCCTAAAAAAACAAAACAAACAAAACGAAAATGTGAAAACAAACAAATCTGAGGGCAGTTATTAAAGGGCCTTAGTATGTCGCGAGGATATTGCTATTTTAAGTCAATCCTGTGTCCAAGTCATTAAATGGTCACTATACCCACACACGAAATGCTTCTGTAGAGTGACTAGTGATCATTTCAAGCAGAGCTTTGAAAACATGAAACATTTGGCCCAATCTTCAATTTCCAATCCATGTCCACCCTTGTCATCCGTAGTAACAGTCTGCTCGATTATGACGTGTGTTACCTGATCTGTGGCATCTTTAAATCGCCTGCTGCCCAGGTTGCGGAATAACACGTTTCCTTTGTTATCAAACTTGCAGCCGGACTCGGAGCATTCAGTTCGGTTGTGCCAAATGGCGCTAGAAAACCAGTCAAGATAACCATCGTTATCCCAATCTCCTATGGCATGGCCCATAGCGTCCTGAAACGAAGAAAATAGTCATTATTACCATGATCAATCTACTCGTTTTGTTTGCCATCTTAAAAAAATGATAATAAAAATAATTCCACGAGGACTGTGTAAGAGGTCCATCGCGTACGTAGTCTTCCATTCTAGGGGTCTCGGTTTCGAGGCCTGCATAAACTGCTGCCAAAACCTCTTACCGCTACCGGGATTTGTTTCTCGGTCTACTCCCCAGTTCACGTTTTCCCGCCAAAATATCACAGGTTCATGCACGCGCACTACTTGGTATTGAGAAAATCTCGTCCTCGTCCTCGTCTTCGTCTTAGAATCTAAAGCTCTGTTAATTTGTCTTATCGATGACTAGGAGTTACCAAATATGGCAATACGAAGAGAGGATTTCTTGCTTGTTTCATGATATTATGATTTCTTACCTGTTTGGCCTTGATGCCGCAGGATTCTGTACATTCTGAAAAGTTGTCACGTTTTGTATTCCAGAACATTCTGCTGCTGCCATAATCTGCTGTTACTAGTAATTCTTGCCATCCATCATTGTCAAAATCCTGAAATCAAAATGCTTCTGTTAGGTACCTTATATAGTTGCAACTCACTGTCACCTCAATATCATCGCCATCAGCTTTTTCTTTAGCCTGAATTTCAGACATCCATTCGAGTAGCATACTCCTCTCAGGTCCATGAGGAGCAATGCGACTCGAGGGAATGTCTGAAATTCAGGATACGTTTTCTTTGGCTACGAGAGAAATTAGTTAGTATATGTGTGAGGAATATGGAATGTCGGTGGCCTATTCTCAGAGACTGGCGAAATGTCTAAGTCCAAAAGATTTTTGTCATAAGTAAACTGCGACATACTTACAGTGAACGAAGAGCCGAACGCGTAGGTTCCTAAGTTTAGCGGCAAGCCAGTAAACGAGTCGTCCATATCCACTCCTGTGTGTGATGTTACATCCTCGAAATACCTGAAAAGTAATAAATTATTTATAATAACCATTCCGTTGAGGATTTTCGTTTTCTCGTCAGTTCTTGCTTTAGTATGTAAAAGGCGACTTTAATTTTAACTGACGTAATGTGCTAGTTTCTTAATGATAAAGTATTAAATACAATAGATGGAAATGGAACGGAACAACAGCCGCAACACAGTTAAAATCAAAATAGCTAACCAACGATAGTTTCCACGACACTTCCAGGAAATATCCCGTAATGTTTCAATTTAGAACATCTCATAACCGTCTAACAAAGAAACGTTTACCTTAAATATCCAAGTACGCAATGTCTTTCGCCTATTTAATCAGCTTTTATAATTTCCGTGGTAGTTGGCGAGCACTTTGCGCACCCACACGGCTAAATCACTTGGGCAGCGAGCCATGGAGCGCTACTTCCTCCTTGTTTGGACTCATGAGCACAGTATATAACCGGTGAACAAGAAAGGGAACAAAAGGCTCTAGGTACTTCATCTTTACTGCCAATGCAAGCCGCGCAAGGACCTTTCCCGAGTTTAATTAAAGCCTAGTTTTTTTAAATATATTTTTCAAAAAAACTATCATTGACGTTTCACTTACCCAGGTGTTTGATACCCTTTGTTCCTAAGAAGCCTTGAAGTCGAAGGCTGAAACGCGAGAGAATGTAAGTGCCAGTTGAAAACTGAACTTGATTAAATTCACTCATTTGGCACTCACTCAGAGAAAAAAAAACTAAAGGTTGAGAGGCTCAAAACTAAACAGGATCGAGCAAGCTGGTTTTATTTCCTTATTTCTAACTCCATTACTTTCAATGAGAAATAAAAAAATTCTTACCTTGAAATAGCCTGAGAAGTGGGAAATTTGATTCAACCAATCAGAAGGCGCTACCCAGATCTGGGTCGTGACGCGTCAACAGTATGGAATTAGAGCATGATATTTCAGAAAAGGAGGACTTCTAGTGAAAAGCGGATTTGAACTACAATTTTAATACTCAAGATTCCTCTGGATAAGAGGTGTTGTACATCACGAAACCTTAGATCATACCCTAACAGGTACTGAGATGATACGAAATGGAATGGCCCATTTCTCAGCGTGCGCTTGCCTCGATGTACCTAACAATCCACCAAAAATTACCTTTCCTAGAATTTGGGGAATCCATTCCGTCACGTAGATGTCAACAAATCCGTCGCGATCAAAATCTCCAACATTTGGCGTCATCCCAGAAAGTTTCCTTTTGTCACTCGTCTGCATCGAACAATTTCTCTTCATAGCTTCTTCCCTGAAGTGTCCTCCGTAATTTATATACAGATAATGCCTGGTATCACCAACCGTAGTCACATAAAGATCCAAATCTCCATCTTGGTCAAAGTCAGCCCAGACAGCACCATTGGCGAGGGATCTTGGTCCAATACCCGTGTCTTGGGTGACGTCGGAGAAGGTCCCATCCCCTGAGAAAGAAAACAGGTCGTGAGGAAACTGTGCTGGCTAAAATAGAAAATCTGCCAGTAAAATTTGGATAGTTTAACTAAGGTAAGTAAGAATTTAAGTAAAACTTTTTTTGCACGAATAGGATGACCCATTCAGCTCAATAGGTGATATCCAGAGGGGTTCTAAATCATATCTATTCAATAACGTAGAGCCTGTGTACGTTTAGCCGCCCCCTTCAGTTCCTTCAAACATCGAGGAGAGAGACGGTAAAGGGAATGTACATGAACCCTTTGGTTCCCTTCCTGCCCGTTGGCCATATTACGCTTATGTGTCCAGACAAGGAAGAATGACGGACCACTGAACTTATCAAGCATGGCTGCCACTGTCCAGATGATTTGACTATGCGCATACGCAAGGTATTGGCCAATAGGCTATTTTCGTGTTCCAAAAACCCTCACTTTCAAAATGAGGCCAAGTGCACGACCTTGTGAAAATGACTTTTATTTGCATGAGAATGAAAAATCATTTCCATTTTAAAGGCTAACCACTCAACCTCAATTTGATACAGAGGCCCAGAGAAACTCGGAAATGGCCTATTACCATACGAATCAGTCGATTAAGAAACCAATGTCGAATAGTGAAATATACGTTTGGCCAATAAATTCAACGATATGACTTCATGATGATGTCAATTTACGTTATTCTGTCAATCAAATTTTACCTAGATGTTTAAGATGATAAGTACAATATTCTGTGTTAATTTGGTGGCTGTATCATGACCAATTTTAAAGTCATTGAAAGGGCCTCCAAAGCCACCTCTAGCTCCCAACTAAGCTAGAAAGCCCGGTCCGAATAGGGTTAATCGCAATGCTTACCATTATTTCTATACAAGACACTCGTGTCATGAGACACGGTGAAATAAATATCCTCTAGTCCGTCACCATCATAATCACCGACAGCCGCTCCACCGGTCACATGCTCTGGAATGCAGAACTCGCCGGGAATCCGCGCCTTGCGTGAAGAGTTATAAAATGGTACGACAACATCAAAGACGCAGTGAGGTCTAACAGGCATACTGTGACGGTGAACATGGTGAAATCCAGCTTGCTGTGTGAAACGAAATCGGAGTATTGAGAAAGGAAACAATTAGACTATCTCTGTGCGACAAAACTTCCTAACATGCGTTCATAAATTTCTCAGGGACACCTTAATCTTTCTCTGCAGAAAATCATTGACCTCCCCACAAAAGTTGCACCAGTAATTGCCCCTTAACACTAAAATAATCACCATTCCCTAATTTAGTGCGTATAGTGTATTTTGACGGCTTAGTGAAAATGGACGTTTTCTTTTTAACATTTTTAAGAGGATGACGGTATTTGTTTTCTTTATAGGGCACAGCTGAGAGTGTATTGTGAACGTTAACTTTGCCCTCTCGATTTTCAGCCAAAACCTGTTCTGTGGTTAGCATGCATCTCAGCCTTCGAGATCGTATTCTGTAAATTGAGGGCTGCAATACGTTATGATTACTTTTGCAAAACATGAAAGATCTGGATTGTAAGAGAATCGTGAAAGACTGATTGCATGCCTCACGGACTGGAATTTTCCCAAAAATATCACAGTGCAGATTAAAAGATCAGCTTTGCTAACCCTTTTTAACCACAACTCTCTCTTAACAAATAGATGAAGCTAAAAAACAAAATACTTAAAGATCCTTTTTAGCACTACCTTCCTGGTTCATGATGGTTTCCAGTCGATTCTGAGATGGGGTCATTACATTTGAATAGGGTGTAACTTCCTGTACACGATAGATGCTTTATATCTTTTCCTGTTTTTCAATTCAGTTTAAACGTTTGAAAATACAACAGATTTTGTAGCAATGTGAAAAAAACTCACCACAATAAAATCCTCCAGTACGAGATGAGATGTAAACTCTTTAGTCCCAGATGGTGTAGCAAATTTGAACTTTTTTCGGTCTGAGAGTTACTGGGGGCTTCAAGGCCCTAGCGTAGCAACGCACCCAAATGTTCCCACCTACTGCCCCACAGATTTAGACTGGTCACGGTCTCCTATTTTTTCGTAAGATCGTCAGGATCAAGCGCTTTCCGCTACGTGCGGCCATCTTGGTTTCATATGTACCGAGGCGGGGGGGGGGGAGGGGTGGTTAAAGCGATATGGCCTGATCCGCTCCCCAACTAGATTTGACCCTCGTCGGTAACGCATAGCGCTCGATCTGGACCATCTTACGGAAAAATAGGCAACTGTGAAAAGTCTACCATAGATTTGGTAACTCTGATATAACACTGTAATATTTCTACCCCGCCGGGGCACTCTCTTATAAAGCCATATCGAGGTATGTGCCTCCCCAAAGGGTTTTTTTTTTTTTTTTGGCCATTACGTTCTGAAAACGGGTATAGATTGTGCCTGTTTTGGTCTGGAATGAGGTATGATTTTGGAGGGAGCTACGGAAGTGTTAAGGGAGTGTAGAAACGTGTTTGTCGTTTCAATTCCAAATGAGTAAGTAAGAAAGAGAGAGTGATACAGGAATTAGAAATGCATTTAAGAAATCATTTTGTTGGCGTTCTAAAGTAAGTAATAATGACTTAAGTTCATAGAGGCCAGGTCTGAAAACGGGTGTAGAAGATGACTTCTTTTTGTTTGAAATTGAGATCAGGTCGGCACACCTCCACCAAGAATTCCCAGCAGTACCCCCCCCCCCGTTACCTACCTGGTGAACTTCCTCAAATCTCGAGTTGTGTCCATCCGAAGCTGCATACTTATTGACACGTGCCATTTTCTCTTCTTTACAACTTTCGAAAGGCAAACCAAAGATCAAGTCATTTCGGACCACTTCAAGCCTTTCCAAATTAACTTTTGTTTTCCGTTGGCCACTGACTGAGTCATGGTGAAGTTCAAAGGCTTCACCGTCTCGAACTTCGTACATATCGGGTAAGGTGATAAGCTGTGGCGTAGCAGTGGAACAGACGATGGTGGAGGAGACAATTGAAAAGATGAGGATGAAGACCACTTTTGCTTCCATTTTACAATAAGCGGTTGCTTTTCACATTAAGTAGATTCGGAACGGAAGTAAAACATTCCTGTGTATTTCGAAACAGTCGTTCATATATCAGCCCTGTTATTACCTAGTTCAAGAATATTTGTATTGAAACTTCTAAGCTGAGTGTGATTCAATTATCGTGATTTACATTACTGCAGCTTAAAGTTTTTTAAAAATTTTAAAATTATTCTGGAGAATATTAAGCAAAAAAGAGTTAACCTGCCAACAAATGGACAAACAGAAACTTCCAAAGGCTGTGCTTTCCCCGCCCAGACAAATTTAGACAAACTTTGAAAATATGCAGAGTTAAATAAACAACACTTTACCATAATGAGAAGACTGACAAAAGCTGAATGTGTTGAAAATGTCTGTTAAGGCTCCTATCTGAATAATCGAACAGCCCCACTTCAAGTTATGTTTAGAAGAAGTGATATGATTTGTTTATGGTCGAGAAAACTTCAGTATGGACAAGACCGTTCTTCTTTTTGGATTCTAAGGATACTATTACCTGCCTTGTGTTTAAGCTCGCTTTAAGACGTCACGAAACTTCCACAGCTGTTCCCAGCCGCTATTTCGCGTGTTCTGATACCTGTTGTTACAGACAGAGCATCACCGACAACTTTGGTTTTGTTGCGTCTGTCTTGATTTCGAATTTTCAAAAGCGTGCTACTTTTGTAGGGGTGAATAATATCCGCTGTGTGACGACAATTCGTGGGTACACACTAAGCTCTAGTCCACTTGATATATTTAGCAGAGCATCACGGAAGTGAACTGGCGTTAATAGTCTCTTTTAAAGCACCAACTTCTCTTTCTTCTTAAAGTACGGATGTGGTTTCGACTGAGCGCTGCTTGTTCAGTCTCCACAGACAAGTTGTAACCAGTCGGTGCACGGGTCACGGCAAGCTAAAAATACAAATCGTTGTTAACTTAAGCCCTCTCATAACAATCAAGCAGCCTTTCAATCTAACTCGTCACGCAGTTATCGACAAACTCAAATATTGCTTCCGGGGGGTACTCCCATATATGAGCCATTTAGGTATGTGTCGCCCCCAAGGGTAGGGTCTTTCCGCCGTTTTGGTTTGAAAACGGGTATGTTCATGGAGGAACTACAGTTGTGTATCAATGTGCTCGTCAAATCAATTCCACATGAATAAGGAAGAAAGTGTTATGTGCGAATTCAAGAGCCCATCAGTGGCTCTTGGCGACTTGGAAATGCATTTTAAGAAATGTTTTTGTTGCGGTTTTAATCTCAGCAATGATAACATAATTTCTGTTTTATGTAAACATGTAATGTTGCGTTTTGTGACCACCTCCAGGTCTGAAAACGAGTATGGATTTCAGAAGCCAGGTCTGAAAACGGGTGTGGAAAATGACAATTTTTTGGGCTGAAATAAGGTCAGGATTATATTTCGAGAACCGGGCGGCACACCCCCACCAAGAATTCCCAGGAGTACCCCACCGGTATTGTTGGTTTTCATATGAAGACACTAAACTATCGATCCTACCGAGATTTTACTTTCACGATATATTAGAGCAGCTGAAAACTAATTTTCATCCAAATTTTCGCTTCAGAAGGGTTCTTGGTTTTGTGTTAGAGTGCGCTTGAATTTCTAATTATCTAACCTTTCGCCTGACGCGGCATTTACATAACGGCCAAGAGAGTTGTCATGTAGGGTCCGTGCACACTTCGGCCAATCTAATTTTGTATTTTTCCAACAAAAACGGAAAAAGGAAATATTACTTATCGTTATCATATTTACATATTTTAAAGTACAGAAAAAAATAGAAAAAAAGAAAATGGTCAGGAAAATTGATCATTTTTTCATTTTCCTAATTTTGAAGTCCGCTTCAAAAATACAAAAAATACTGTAAACGCCTAAAAGCGATATTTTGCTATTTTTTATTTTCTTGCTATTGTTAGAAAATGAGAAAAATGAAATAATCTCCGATTCTTAACTCATTTTTCTATTTTTCCGTTTTTCGCAAAAAATAGAAAAAAGGAAAAATGAAAAAAATCATATTTATTCGCACCATTTTTTCATTTTTTCCATTTTGTTCAAAAAATGAAAAAGTAGAAAAATAGAATACCTATCGCCCAATTTTCCATAATTCCGTTTTAACAAGAAAAATGAAAAAAAAATGACAAGTGTTGCGAACAATTTTTTCATTTTTTCAATAAATAGAAAAAAAACAAACAAACAAAAACGGACAATTTTTCATCTTTTGTTTTAATGAAAAATAGCAAATAAAAATGACAAATCATGAGTATTTACCAATAAAGAAAAGGAAAACCTAATCCACTTTAGACTCACTAGTTTTGTTAGACGATTTACACAGGGTCGGCAGAGACGTGGGATGGGAAGGGGGGGCTTGGGCCCTTTAGTTCTCGGAATGCGAACGTACTTTCATTCACTTTTGGATTTGATTGGCTGATTCCTTTACCTCATTACTTAGGACGCACTCTGTGACCTGTTCTAACACTGCGTCACCATAAAGTGTTCCTGTTCCATTCAAACTGTGGAACGTTTCCCCATACTTGTCGCATGGGTTTCCCGACATTAGCGATCTTTGCTGTCGTCTTTCCAGGGCTGACTTGCTTAAAAGGTGGATAACGCTATCCGCTGGATAAATAACTATCCAGTAGATAACGCAATTGGTTTCCCTAAAATACATAAAAAAATTATCAGGCCGCTGGATAGGGATTTATCGGGTGGATACTCGCTATCCAACGTTTAAACAAATGTATGAGCAAATGTATGGGGCCAGATCATTAAGATGTTCTCTCCCGCGAATGTATACTAGCCGCCTCATTAAGTTTCTCCTCCATAATATTAATTCAATATACTTTACTCTTGCAATCCTCAAACAACCGTTTTGCGGCAAGTTCCGTTATTTCGGCAGGCTAAGGGTTAGCAGGGTTAACCCTTAACCCAGGGTTAACCTTAAGCAGTCTACTTTCTATTTCATTTAAAAGCGTCTGACCTCTGGCGTGCTCTTTCTTTATTTTGTGCATGTGACTGTTCAACGACCTTCTTCTTAACTCCTTCAACTTAATCTCTCTCACGAACCGCTTTTTTTTTTTTTTGTGCCGGGACCATAGTTGCTGGCATGAAAACCTGAAAACCGTTGAGTTACCCCACCCCCCTTTTTTTTTGCCTGTACCAATTTTCACGCCTTCTCTTCCTCCCTCGTACCCTTTCTAATATTCTTCATTTCCACGGCCGGTACGATACGGTTTTCCCGCCGCTTTCATCCACAGCCGACTCCCGACAACTCAAACCTTCAGGGAAATCGTGAAAAGTTAATCAACTTCAAAAGTTAATAGAACTACATACGTCCGCATCTCGAAAACTAAGCCCTCCCCCCCCCCCCCAAATTCCCCCACATCTCCGCCGACCCTGGGTAAATCTTCTAACCAAATTAGCGAGTCTCTTCTTCACCGTTAAAATATTCATAACATCTCACTTTTCTGCGCCATTTTTCAATAAAATAAAAAGTGAAAAACTGTCTGAACGGGTGTATCGTTTTAAAGTTTTACTATTTATTAAATAAATAAAAAAATTGAAAATTGCTCACAACACTTGTCATTTTTTCATTTTTCTTATTAAAATGGAATTATGGAAAATTGGGCGATAGGTATTCTATTTTTCTATTTTTTCATTTTTCGAACAAAATGGAAAAAATGAAAAAATGGTGCGAATAAATATGATTTTTTTCATTTTCCTGTTTTTCTATTTTTGGCGAAAAACGGAAAAATAGAAAAATGAGTTAAGAATCCGAGATTATTTCATAAAAAATAAAAAAAATAAAAAATAGCAAAATATCGCTTTTAGCCGTTTACAGTATTTTTTGTATTTTTGAAGCGGACTTCAAAATTAGAAAAATGAAAAAATGATCAATTTTCCTGACCATTTTCTTTTTTTCTATTTTTGTCTGTACTTTAAAATATGTAAATATGACAACGATAAGTAATATTTCCTTTTTCCGTTTTTGTTGGAAAAATGAAAAATTAGATTGGCCGAAGTGTGCACGGACCATGTAGGTTTAAAAAAATGACGTATTTCAGGAAATTTTGCTCTCTAAACAGTTCGTGTTTTAGAAAAAGTATTACTCTAATATTATGAGTTTCTCGAATAATAAATTCACGCTTTTGTAGCAAAACTCGGTAACAGGTGTTTCTGTTGGTTTTCGTCCGCCATGTTGGTGCTCATCCAGGTGAGCAGCAGCATACAAATCTCCATACAAATACATCTCTCATACATACAAGTCTCCATACAAATCTCTATAAGTTTGGGTAAAACATTTCTCCGGATATCTCGTATACGAAATATTCCTCTGACCTGAATCTTGGCGACGGTCTTTGTATATGTACCTCTTTTCATTTCCTAGATTCTGGACTTGATATATTGAACGGTTTTTATTTTTATTTCGATCTATTTTGAATGGCGTGACTTTTGCGGAAATTGGTCTTATATGTAAGACCCTGAAGAAGGAAGGCCGTACCTTCCGAAATATTGGTAAAAAAAAATATATATATATATATATATATAAACGATCAATGATTACTCCTGAAGCCTGAACTCCTGTGATTATTAATAGTCAATGCTCTTCAATTAAATGAATTGAGCGCTCTACGGAATACGTTCTACCCAGAATACAAGTATTTATATATATTTATATTCCCGACTGCAAAATCAGCCTTGCTTCTTTCGTTTTACACTAAAAAAGGCTGGGTAGCAGACTAGCGTATCGCGGCAGCGTATTTCCGTGTTTATGACTCGGAAATTCGGCACGGGATTTTTGGGGGGGTTAAATTTTGGTCCATAGGGATGTTTTTTTCAGGGGTTTTGATTTTTGCCCCTGTTCGATTATCTCTGGGTCACTTGAAATCCGGAGTACCCCCTTGTGCGAAGTCCATACCCTTTCATATACCTGAAGCCAGAAAAAGGTACCCCTTTGGAGCCGAGTGTGTCCTTCAATGCTGAAATTGGTATTCCTTTCCATGTAGGCCATTATTTGGTACCTCCCGGGCTCCCCAACTAGCGGTGCTTTCAGCGTAATGGATAGGCTCCTGACTGGGTTTTTTTTTTTTCAGCACATCTTCATACTAACAGTGGCTCAGTGGGGGTACACCTGAAGATGCAAACTTAAAATTTCCCTTTAAAAAAAATTTACTTGCGGTATGCCGCAATTGTGATGCTCTGGGGCCTGTCTGAGGGCAATTAAGGGGGGTATTTTTATGGGAAGGTCCCCGTAACACTATGGTTGTTTACCATTTACCACAAACTCTCAGAAAAATCGGTTGGGATGTAAATGGTTAACGTTTTTTTGGTTCATCCCACTCGAAAATTCCCGGGACAAACGGAGATTCTGAAAAGGTAGCCCCGTTTTCCCGATTGGGACGTTCCGAATGGAAATTCGTTTACCATTTGCAAGTTTCTTGATTTTCGTACTAGTTTCATATTGTAACTAGGATCCAGTCTAGCACAGCGCGACAATCCGGAAATTTTGGGCAAATGGTAAACGACACGTACCGTTCTTACCGACCGAAAATTCCCAACCAAATTTTGCGGATTTTTTTTATAAATGGTAAACAACCTGTAAGAACCGCGCACTCAACTTGGTCGTCTCGGTTCCAGACCGTCTCGCTCGCACTACATCACGGCCGTTTTTGTCGAAAGCACAAATAATATCGACCTAAACCTAGCCTCCCACGCAGACGTTCTCAGGGGTTCGTCACGCGTTCCTGCCCCACGAACGTCTGCGTGGGGCAGGAACGCGTGAGTAACGGTTGTGCCTAAATCATACCGTCCAAAAGGACAGCCGAGGAGTACTAGGAACGAGTTGCCGATTCGGGTCGACTTGGGAAATTCTCGAAAACATCCAATATGGCGGCTCAAGAGT